AAAATTTTTCTAAAATAACTACTTATACTATCATTCTCTATTTTTTTTTAATTAAAATTAAATAATATTCTTTAATATTATCAGGTCAATATTTTACTAAAATTTATGTTGTTTAATGTTATAAGTACTACTGCAGGTTATGTAAGTTTTTCTTTCAAATTAGATATTCTTTATTTCTTTAGTAATTTGCTAAATCGTATGTATATTATTCAATATAAAATAAATTTACTGTACACAGTTTTATCGGGTGACAAAATATAGCTTTAATTTCACGCAAACGTAAGTGCATAACTAAAAGCATACACGATAAATCTTATCATTTTTCATCTGTTATTCTTTATACATTATAATTACAATTTATCAATTATGAGTTTATCAATAAATAATCAATATTTTCGATAAAACTCACTTTTTATCTTAATGCTTCTATTAAAAAAAAATTTAACAAAAATGTGTTGCGTATTTTGTGTAGAGTACGTTTCATTAATAATAAACTAAATGTATGATACTCAAAGTTACAAAAACATGACTACATTTTAGTCATAAAAAAAATAAGAGCAACACTATTCATATTTCATTTTTTTTATGTAGAACCATTGTACAGTATTTTTGCTTTAATAAAAAATATTTATATATCCATACACCCGTATATATATATATATACATGTATATCATCATCATCAACGAAAATTGAAAATCTTACTGTTAATGTTAAAAAGACTTATAATAATTTTGCTACAAAAAAATTTCATTTTAATTACACAAATTTAACTCATGATCAACTAAAGAAATAATTAACATTTTTCATTAATTTAATAATCACTTTAGTTGTTACTAAATAACCAATGTAAATAAATTGGAAAAGATTAACATACTATATCACGCTACGTCTCGTTGTAATTTAAATACAAATTATAATTAATAAAATCTTGTAACAAATGATTAAAGTAATAATTACGGTAGTTATTGTAATTAAATAAAACTGAAACTTAATTTATTTCGAAAATGAATAAATAAAATTATAACTTCCTTAATTTATTATAAATTTGTATTCAACAACTTCTTAATTTTCATTATTTCTATTTTAACAATGTTATTCATATCATACACCTCTAATTGAAACTAAAAAAACTATTTGTTAAATTAATTTTGTTACACGCTTTTCCCCACTCCTCGCCAACTATCTCTCTCTCTCTCTCTCTCTCTCTCTCTCTCTCTCTCTCTCTCTCTCTTTCTACCTCTACCCACCTCCCTCATAATCTACAACACAGCTCGGTCAAGTGTTTAGCCATGCAAGCGCAGCACATATTCAACCACTGGAATTTCACTGAGATGCTCCGGTATTTCCTCGTCCCCCCTATTAACGTGACCCCACCCTGTACTTCTCACGAAGCGTAGCCATCGAGAATGTGAAAAGCAGCCCACGAATGCATTGTTATGTGTGGAGGCATTTTGTCTCTCATTTTGGCTCCTTTCTCTTCTTCTTACGCCTCTTCAAGGAATATAATATTATGGAGAATCATTGCGAGCTTTATAAGAGTTCATATAGTAGTATTGAGCTGTAAAGACAACAAAGTTCATATAACGTTTAATTGAAATTTTATTTTATAGAATTCATGTGGGAAAGATGAAAAAAAATTTACCTTAAAAGCATTTAGAGATATAAGTGATAATATTCGATTACATTATATTTTTTATTTATGACATAGTTATAGTTTTATAAATTTCCATTCTCTTATCTAAGAATATAATCGACATCTCTACTATTAACGTTGATTGTTAATAGATATTTTTTCTATTTAAGTATCTAAATGACATGTAAATAGAATCAAAAACTGTAAATGTGTATTTATTCTAATAATTCGTCTTTCAAATAAAATCTACAGTTTTATGAAATTATTCGAATATCTTTAAGAAAGAAAGAATTTTTTGCATTAATAATAAATTAATTCAAAGATTTAAAGACTATATTACTTTTTGTTTCACTGGTACGTCCAGAAGTAAAGAATACAGAATACCGAAACATCAATTTTATTAAATATTTGTATCCGAGATTAAAAAGAAAAAAAAATTACAAAACAAACTTATAAACTTAAATAAATAGAACAATTGAATTAATTTTTCAATTGTAATATCACTGCAATGGCTTTATTCGTAATTCAAATAATAAATTAAAGATTACAGAATGTATTGAATACGTACTGTATGATACAATACCATACATTCACGTATTAGATATGACTAGAACAAATTATAAAATATTTTGTATTGATCGCCCAGAAATAAGTTAATAACGAGGATTTAATAATAAGGTCAAGAGAATAATAATTATCTGTTTTGATAAAAGATAAAGTAGCCAATTATTGGATCAGTAATACCTTTTCCGTTTATTATTAATTTGGGTTATTTAATTACAAATAATGAATCTTGATTACTTACAGACATTTTATTTTGCGATGAGTACTTTTTATTCATAATTTACGTCAGAATAAGTACAAATATAAATTTTATAAAATATATCAGTCAGGATTCATAGATTTTTCATCTTTTTTCGAATTTATTAATACATTGAACTGATATAGAATTCTGATGGAAATGTTTACGTTTAATCTTAATAAATGATAAAATGATAGATCTTTTAATAAAGATCAAATAAAAATTATATTCCCTAAATAAACTAACATATTTCATTATTGAAGACATATATTCCTCGTCCCTGAAAATGATGAAAATATAGAATATTCTTGCCCTTTTAAATTGAATTTTTTTTTTGTAAGTTTACTTACCCAAATATTACTTTTGCTCCACTAATTCAGCGAAATAAGTTTAAAATAAAATAACAGTAATTATTGCACAGTAAATTTTAAAAGTATTTCTTATCAATTTTATTATAAAGGTTAAAATTTCTTAAATATATATACAGCCTTCGTATTTGCTTCATTTACTATTCGAATACTTTCAAACATTTTACTAATTTACAATAAAAATACAAGAAAGAATAGTTTTTGCAATAAAAATATTTCACTTTATAAAAATGAAGTCTGAATTTATATAAGAATTTCTTATAAAGAATGGGACATATAAACAATATAATGTAATTATACCCAGTCTCTGTCTCTATCTCTCTGTCTCTCTCTCTCTCTATCTATCTATCTATCTATCTATCTCTATCTATCTACCTATCTATCTATCTATCTCTATCTATCTACCTATCTATCTATCTATCTCTATCTATCTACCTATCTATCTATCTATCTCTATCTATCTACCTATCTATCTATCTATCTCTATCTATCTACCTATCTATCTATCTATCTCTATCTATCTACCTATCTATCTATCTATCTCTATCTATCTACCTATCTATCTATCTATCTCTATCTATCTACCTATCTATCTATCTATCTCTATCTATCTACCTATCTATCTATCTATCTCTATCTATCTACCTATCTATCTATCTATCTCTATCTATCTACCTATCTATCTATCTATCTCTATCTATCTACCTATCTATCTATCTATCTCTATCTATCTACCTATCTATCTATCTATCTCTATCTATCTACCTATCTATCTATCTATCTCTATCTATCTACCTATCTATCTATCTATCTCTATCTATCTACCTATCTATCTATCTATCTCTATCTATCTACCTATCTATCTATCTATCTCTATCTATCTACCTATCTATCTATCTATCTATCTCTATCACTATCTCTATCTCTATCTCATTCGTGTGTACTCATACACATAAAAAAATACAGTCACTCTTTCTTTCTCGGATTTTTCTCTGTCCCTTTATTTCACTATACAAAAATTTGTTTCCAATTGCATGGCGTGTATTTGTTTCTCAACAGTTTCATACACCAGCATTACAAAATAGTATTGATGGTGAAAATATAAAAATTTAAAAGTTAATATTCCACTATAAGTTTCAATAGCCAGAAACAATAAGTTCTCTAAGGAGTCAAAAAGTTCTAAAAAGTTTTTTTTATTTTTTTTTTTTTTTTTTTGCTTCCAGTCGTAAGTCGTTTATTGAATTAATTTTTAAGTTCGCGGCTTTTTAGAGGTACATTGCGCGAAAGAAAAGAAACGCGACGGCAGTTTTGTAAAAGTTTTTATTTCGTTCGATTATATACCCACTTTGTTAAAACATTTATCATAGTTGTAGCATGAAAAAAGCTTCGTTTATGAGAATTAAATGTATTACAGGCAAAAGTGTTGTAAACGTACTGTCTTTTATGTTTAAAATTTATCAACTTAATGAATATTTATACACTAATAATTATATTTAATATAAAAACAACTATACTTAAACTCCAATAATCCAATTTGAGTTGTTACCATTATGTAAAAACATTAAATATCCTTAAATTTAATTTTAAACAATGTCAAGTAACTTCAGTATCGGTGTATATATATATATATATATATATATATATACACTTGATATAATAATAATTAGTAAATTACAAATTGTAATAATCAATAAACAAGTATAAGCAATCAATTATTAAAAAATTTAAAACTTAAAATTAATGCTAAATTGCAATTTTTCACACTTAATTCATACGCATAATTAAATAATAAAATAAGTTATTCTTGACTTTTTCATAAATACAAAAGAATAACGAAAATTATATATCCCAAGTGTATATCGAATTTTAATATGCAATACAATAAATATGTTGGAAAAAACAAAAATGTAAAATAAAGAAACATTTGTCAATAAAAGTATCTCATTGGACTGAACGTAAAATTTCATTTTATATTCAAATAAACTTTATTTTACAAAGAAGAAAACTTTTTGTGTTTTATGACATATATTTAGAGATTTGTATGTAGGCGTGCGTGCGTGTGCTTGTACATTTATCTGTCGAAATGAAATATAACATATATATATATATATATATATATATATATATATATATATACATATAAGATCCAATCGATTAGATATATTTACATTTAAGGAGACTTTCATTTGCTTTTAGATCGAATGAATTAAAGTCGTTTTGGCAGAACGTAAACGAACACATCCCAGTTTTTGATTACCTTTCTTCCGCTCTTGTGTCTTCCGAATATCAACATGCCCTGGCCCGAGCCCTGTCGATGCCGGAATGCCCAGTTGTACCCTTCTTCGGGGCATTCTTGCGCGAACTTCGAGAAGTCATTGCTAATGTCTCGAAGGTAAGTTTTTATATCATACTTATTTTTCAAATATATTTTTTTCGATACTAGACGAGTTTTTACAAATAATACTTGTCATTTTTTTTTTCGTTTTTTCTTTTTTCAATTTAAACTCAGAATTGTAAAAATGTATTTCTAATTTGACTAATGGATTAATATTCATGATAGTAATTTTATAACCTTTACCTCTGTAAATATTCTCGAATATTTTTACGTAGATAAGTAAAAGGGCAAACGAACCTTATAAAAATGTGTATATCTACGAGCAAAGAGTAAAATCAATTGGAGATTATGCATAATACATTTCAATATTCTACGTGCGTTGGACACTGTTCTTTTATTATTAATAGACGAAATATTTTATAGATGATTCAGCTAAATAGTTTATAAAAATGATGTCAATATTTATTTTGGTATATTTCATAATGTTTATTGATTTTTTCGTAAATGGATAGATTGTATCTTTTATCTATATCTATCTATATATATTTATTTATATTTGACTATATGAATGAAATTCGTTATTACGTAAAAAAGTAAAAAAAAAAGACTTTTTTTATGATGGTTATTATCTATGAAATATTTATAAAAGGAAGAATATACTGATTTTTGATAGTTAATGAATTATCCTTAATAACTTTTAATAAATAATGAATGTATTCAAAATTTTGAGCTATTATAATTCAAATAAATCATGCTATTTTCGTTAAAAGAGTTTTATCAATAGTTTTATTGCAGCTAATTTTCTTAAATAATTATAGCTAATTATCATATAGAAAATCAATAATATTTTATATATTGATAGAAAGCAAATAATTCTGGTTTTATATATCCCTATTTTTCCTTTTATTATTAATGGTATTGTAATGTAACTTCTCATTTCATATCCGATGAAATTTATAATTATCGATTTTACTTCTTAAGTTAGCTTATAAAGAAATAGCCAGACTAAACTTATTTTTTGTTAGACTTATCTCAATAATTATAGCTTAATCGATGAATTTTTTTTTTTTTAATTACTATTAATAAACTATAAATTTAAATTAAATATCCATTAAAAGCTACTGCATTCTTTGATTACATACTGTTTTCCTATATTCATTTTGTGTGAAACAAATTTTAAAGTAATATCCACCATATTCCTAGTTATTAGATAATATAACATAAATATCGCGGATCATGAATTTCTAATCTGTCCTGTAACCACTATGTCCTAATTATATTTATTGTATTTGTTATTTTTTTTATAGTAAATATTTTCTCTAATATACAAACACTTTCAAATTTATCGCATTTTAAAATCTTTTATGATATTTAAAAAGTATTTTTTACTAATCAAAATTAGATAAATACGTTTTAGAATTTAATTTAAAAATTTTTTTTTCATTTATAAATATTTTATATAATTATAAATGCTTATTTTTAAATAATTGACACTTTTACAGATATTCAGAGTACCAAGGTAAAGCAATAAGTGTTCCATATATATCGACTACAACTGATATTTTAAAATTTCTTCAAAGGTTATAATTAGATTTATTGAGCTAGACGCTTTAGTCGAAAAATAATACGAGTTACAACCTCTGAAAAGATTTTCTTCTATAAGTATTGCACCAACTATACACAAATAAACTTATTTGCTATATCCTAACATTTATATATATATATAAATGTTTATAAAATTAAATTGCATTAAATTGTATTAAATTACATTTATAAAAATATGATTTAGTGATGTAATATGTATATAACTTTTTAAATTAGAAAAAATGTAGAAAGTTATTCAATTTCAATTATTTAATTATTTCTTTTTGGATCTTTAATTAGGAGGAAAATTAATTTAAGAATCGTATTCTACAATAGCTATTGGAGAAAAAAAATAATATTCGATTTTATAATATACTTCTTAATGTCCTTATATATATATATATATATATATATATACTTGTTTCAACTTAGGTTTTTAAATATTTTTATAATCTGAAGATTTAGATTAAAATGATTGACTAAGTAATATTTATAAATATATACATATTAATAAGTTAATAAATATTTTTTAATGCAATTATTGATATTTCCAAATATTTAACTTAAGATTACATGGGCAAAACAAATAATAGCAAACCCAAGGGACTAAGGTTAGTGAATAAGCCGCATTTGGGAAAACCTCCAAACCCACAGAACAGATGACTTTCTTGGTTACTTCCCCTATACATAGCTGGTGATGTCGTGTAGCAAAATTACGGAACCAAATGACAAGATTTCTAAATTCTTCGAAACTTGTATAAGCAATTAGAAATTTGGTGACTTCAAGTTACTAGATAAGCTTCTCCTGTATCTTAGTATTTATTCTTTCCGAAAACTTATTTCTTTATTCTTTATTTGTAAAATTTCTTTCAACATTATTAAATATTTCATGTAAAACGTGATAATAAAATTTTTTACATAATTATTATAGATTGTATTAAAAATGAAATTGTAAAATTTAATCAAAATAATAATTGATATATTAATATTATAATATTTCAATATAATTATTATTCGTTCAATTTCTAAATGTTTATTAATATTAAAAACATATCGAGTAGATATAACTTAATAAATACTTTAAGAAGTATATAAATTTTATATAATTAATCACTTACATAATTTCTTAACTTATTGAAAAAAAAAAAAAAAAAAAAAAAAAAAAATTAAAGAATAGCAGCTATTTATGTGAAAATATATCAGAATGAAATATTTACGTTATAATTTTATTAATCTATGTTGCAATTACTTCTTTTCCGTAATAATTTTGTTAAATTTTACATTTTAAAAATTCATGAAATCTATATTCTCTTCCTTTTATAACCAAAGCTTTAACTTTGAAATAATGATTACAATAGAGAAAAAGCATGACCTAATTGAAAATGCATTTAAATAAAGGAAAGATGAAAGCGATACAGTTATAATCCCAATACTTCGGGTGAGCAAGCCGATCAAAAAATACTTTCTAAGTTTGTAAAATATTGAAGTTCAAATTGATGTCGAACAAATAAACGAATGAATTAAGGAAATTAATATAAGTTCTAGAGCGTAATACTGCAAATAATATAAGAATGTAAAGCAATTATAAAATGTCGTGTATTATTCATCTGTGAAAAATATAATTCATCGGCTGCTGGTATTTTCCGTATTTTCCCTACTTCCCATCCAACTTTGTATCCAACAGTAAACACAAATACTTTTCCTTCTTATAATAGACTAGAATATTTGCACACCACTCAATGAGCTTTGAACAAGCAACTACATGAAAAAAAAATTGGAGAAGACAAAACTTTTTGATAACATGGAAAAATTAATGACAGTTTGTTTTCAAAACTAATTGCATGATTGGTTATGAATTTTTGTAAAATGATCGTAGTAACAAAAATATTAAAAGAAAAACACTATTTTTTTTTTTAAATTCATGTATTTATTTTTTAATGCATACATATATACTTAAATTTATATATGATTTAATTTATTTTACTGACACACTTTTTTTTATTTGAATACACTGCTATTCATAAAAAAAGTCTGTTAAATTTTCAGTCCTTTCAATCGATTAGTAATAAATCTATTAGAATAATATAGTTTAACTTAACAGATTATTGACTAGATGGAGCAAATTTTATCAAATTAATATACTTGTAACCTTTTATTATAAAATATTATTGAATAATGCAAGACGTTAATAATCCATTTAAATAACAAAAATAATAATTACTCCGAATATCCTCATTCTTTCCTATATCAATAATTGTATCTTGCAAAACAAAAAAATCGACAAAAATTTAATCGCGAGCTTAAAAAAATTTGAAAAAATAAATAGTGAAAAATAAGCTCCATTCGGCTCGCAAATATACTTATTGACCACTTAAGAAGGTATAGGGAAAAAAAGACGTCTTACCATCCATTACATAAATGATTTGCTGAATCACTAGTTGAGATATTGGTATTGGAATTATAAATAGATAGGCAAAAGAAAAATAAATAAATCAGAGGAATTAGTCAAGTGAATAATGTCATATAAATTACTGTCCCACGCGTATAAATAATATATTGTAAATGCAGAGATAATTGCACGGTATTTTTAAAATAAAACATATTGTTTCTAAAGAGAGAGATAATATTCTTCGTAAGTACATATAGTGATATAGTACTGCTTGTTAAATTTTTATGATACAAAGCAAAAAACAAGCAAATAAATGCGATTAATAAAAGTTAAAAAAATAAATAAATAAATAATGTACATACTTTTATAAATCGCGAAATAACTTTTAATGAAGTTCAAAATTGGATAAGGTTTTCTAATAATAATTGGATGAAAATTATGTACCAAGTTTAGATTTCCAAGAATGTTTAATAAAACTATTTATAAAATTTGAATTAATAATTAACAGTGATATGTGTAAAATCGATAATTAAAAATTCCTGGTTATAATTAGTGAAATTATATTAATACCACTGCATTAACTTGAAATAAAAGTTCTACGTTATGTATTTTTGAAGACTTTGGACTTTAGTCTTAAGAATGAAAAACTCTTTAAAATGAGAAGCTTTCATTTTCTCGAGATCTTTTTATCTCCTGTACTACGGTCAACTCACGTTCATTCTTATCGATTACTTATATCGTCTTACAAATGCTCATTGTCAGTAGTAAGATTTTCTCGTCTGCCAAACTTCCGCAGTACACATGCGAGTTACATTCAATTTTAAGAAATCGGCGAAGAGCGATAAGTGACCAAACAACAAAACACGAGAGGAATTGACAAGATAATCAAAAAATGAATGAAAGAGGTCGGACACAGCGAGGAGAGATAAAGAATCACAAGAGCCATCCGACAACAAGGTTAGGGGTTTCTATCGGCCTCCAGCAGCTAAGACGGTTGTAGGCCGGCGGAAACTACTTGCTCTTGTCGTCGGCGATCACCGATCACCTCATTCCTCTGATGAACTTTGATTTAGCTTCCTTATCGTACTTTTCCCCCCAAGAAAACATTTTCTCGAAGATGGCGATTTGTATTTATTTTGTTTAAGTACGTGTAAGAGGAGGTTCACCTCTTGCCTAAACTCTAGCCATCGATAGGGAGTAATTCAACGACCTAATGAAAATCCTACGAAACAATTATATGCGCACGGTAAATAGACATAAGCTTTTATCTCGGATAACGGAGATGAACGAGATTCCAATGGTCGGGTTTTGATAACGAAACATGTTTGTATAAAAAAATATTTTTTAAAAAGAGAAATTGAATTTTTTTTTTTGAGAAATTGAATGTTCGAGACGAATGATTTAAATTACATGTAATTCGTAAAATCTAAGATTGGTTGAATTTCACTGAAGATCGAAAAGTCGTTAGGCCAAATAAATCTTGAATCGTTTATTTATTTAGTGAACTAACAGAACTTTATATTAATTTAGATTTTTGAAGAAAGAATTAGTTTCGTACTTACTGTAATTGTTAAAAATTGTTAACATTCCATTTAAATTGTTCCACCGAGTTCCTAACGAGTGCACTTATAATTTACTTTTAATATATATATATATATATATATATATATATTGATTGCTGAATATTTGCCAAAACATTGTAAAACTAATAATCTAGCACTATTTGGCACGATAAAAAGTTTTACGACACTAATATTATTATCAATAAAAACGTTTTTCCAACAATAAAATATTTTATAGTGTTGAAACTATGTAATAGCTTTTCCAATCTCGTAAAATAGTATAGTAAAGTTTTAAAAATTCTGAAGATAAGTTATGAAACATATGTTACCGTGTTCAATACTTTGAGTGTTCTCGAATATTTTTCAGGTCAGTTCGAAAGGCTGAATCAATTTCTCGTATTATAAAAAAAAAAAAAAAAAAAAAAAAAAAAAAAAAAATATTAATTAAAGTTTATTTTCAAAATCAATAAATAATAACCCTATTTATTGCCCAAATAAGGTAATAATACACGGACATTCACGTAATACAGATTGATTAAAAGAGGTAAATCTAAGTCTCGATAAACTTTCGGATACACAGCTCACGCCCAGCATTAACATTATTTAATCAAAGTCACAGCTCTACGAGCTTAATAGCATTGTTATGAAAGCGCGGTAATTTTAATGAAAGCCATAATGGTGGGAGAATAATTTTTCACCACGTCAATCTGCCCACCTCCTCTAGCATCCACCGGAGTACAGAGAGAAAGAGACTTGGCGCGCTAGCAGTAAGGAGGGCGAGACCCTCGAAAACGTGCCTTCGCCCTCGCCAGGCGCAAGAGTCACCGGCGTCGAGAGTTGCGAGTTCGCCACATCGGTAGCTGCCCCGGAAGCTGTTCAGCTACGCCACTATCATCATCGTAACGAGCAGCAGCAGCAGCCGCAACAACAACAACAACAGCAGCAGCAACAACAGCAGCAGCATCAGCAGCTGGAGGATGCTGAGCAACAGAAGCAGCAGCTCTGGCGGCGTTTGCTGGATCGAGTCGAGAGTCGTTCCGAGCAATTATCCCCGAGTCCCAGGACCTCGGGAAACGAGAGCGGCACCACTGCTGTCCTCGATAAGGTGCATCCTTAAAAAACTAATTAACTCGTATCCCCGGTTTCCATTCAATCTTTATTCGATCATTTCAAAAGCACACGAGCCTTCCTCTTTCGTCGGATTTTATGATACGCAGTTCATCTAATCACTACCAATACTCTTGATTACCAATACTCTTGCCAAACTCGTAACGTATAAATATAAAAGTTAACGTTTAACATTAAATATACTCAAATGTTCAATATACACTAGTATCATCGTTACAGCATAATTATTTTTATTTTATAGAATATTGTATCGTGAATATAATTCTTTGACCTTTGAAAAGATTAATAAAATACGTATCGCACCTATCGATAACATAGATGAAACTCAATATTTCGGAAATAGAATATAAATTGATTACAATTTATAATTAATAGAATTTATTCACATTAGTAAAATAAGTAAAGAAATATTCTCTGATAATTAAAAATAGACAACCGTTGTTGTATTGACTTACATTGTTTTTTTCATCTTTTTTTTTTTTTTTTTTTTTTTTTTTTTTTTTGGTTCATTCTTGTTTTGTTGACAATTGAGTTTTGTATCGTAAGAAAATAGTTGAGAATATTAAACACAAAAGTATTTAACAACAATTGAAGCATAAATCAATGGAAAACGCGAAAAGATCAAGAATAGGTGACAATGTTCTTATAATATAAATTGCGCGTTCTCTGTTAAAATATCATCGTTTAAGTAGAAGAGAAAATAAAATAGCAAAAATGAGAATCTCTGATCACGTAGGTAATGCTGTTCCATCAACATCGTCACGCTCGAGGTAGAGACGCGACAACTGGCTCTTTGCACCGTACACTCAGCATACACACGACAACTCTGGAGCAGACGTACATGGCCGAGGAATGCGACGAGAACGACTACCACTTGGATCTTGATTCCTACAGGGCCGTCCAGCCACTCAAACACGATCACGGCGTTTCTCTCTTCCCCGTAGCTGCGCCCCAAAATGGCATGGATTTGCATCTATTACAAGTTTGTATCCCTATTATCAATATGAATTATTCCCTTCTCTTCTTTTATTTATTAGGGATTATATTGACTCAAAGATAGAATTACACTAGCAATGAAATTTTCTTTGAAAACCAATAGAGTCTATAACGATACAACGCAATTATTTAATATTCACGAGATGCTTCTTGAACAAAATGCAATTGATGGCTCATTAAATGCACCAATACTGCAAAGTATTCATTAATTTTCATTTACATCGCGAATTTATAATTTCAGTAATTTAATATATAAAAGTAATTTAAACTAGAAGCACATGAATTAGCGCAGTTTCATTTCAAATAAATGTTAAGAATAATCGATATATGTTTGTTGAAAAATATATTAGATTCTCATTGATAACGAGATATTTATAAAATTTATTTAAATACACTTTATTTGAAATGAATATTTGTTTTTTCATTGTACTTTAGCGCTATTTGTTAAAATTACTAATCTATCTACTTTTTTTTTATACATTTTAATTATATCTACTGTTTTTAATCATTATAAATTTTGCAAATATAAATATTAGAAAAACATTGTATATTGAATAATAAATTTTATTATGTAAAATTTTAACAATTACTTTTTACATATTACAATAACATTTATTTAAAATAATTGTTAAAACGATATCAAATAAATTTTCATGTGTGAGACAAAAATGAGTTCCAATAAGTAGAGAAATTATTTGATAATTAATGTAATTTGCCTGTTATATAATTTTTTGAGGTATACAATTGTAATTATATCAAATATATTTTATTTAATTGTTTATATAATTTATGAGAAATAAATGTTTTATCATTTATACAATATATCGGCACAATAATTAGATGTTGCTAATGTACTTTTCTTCTTCAAACTTCTCAATTCTATTTTCATTAAAATAAGAGAATAACGTAAGTTGTGGTAATAAGACGAAAAAAACTAAGTTTTATAGTTCGTATGATTCATTCTTGAAATTAATTATCTCGTACACTAGAGTGGAAAAGATACAAGTAATGTCGATTGAATAAAATTTTTAAAGCTAAGCCAAACCACTGAATACTATGTAGAGAAATACTTAACAATGAGAAATGTAATTAACGAATTAATATTATTGATATTATATTATTATTTTAATGAATTACTAAATAAATAAAACCTTTCCTTCAACTTGTAAAGTAATTAAAAGATTGAATGTTCTGTATCAATGTTGCATACTTTAACATTAGAACAAATTATGCTTATAAGCATAAAAAATTATTTAATTCAAAATGTCACATAATTACGATATCCTCCTTAAATTATAAAAGTAAATAAGATCAATATAACATTTATCACAATTTAGATAATACTATGTTATTTAATAGTTTTTATTCAAAAACATTATCTCTTAACGAATTCTTCAGTTATGATAAAAGAAATTATATATCCTCGATAAAAATCAAAATAATTCTTTTACTGTGATCTCCTACTAAAATATTAGTAAAACTAACTGGTTATCTACAATAAATAGATCATAAAGTTTCGAATAAAATATCATAGCAATTCTGTTCAGAATGTAATGCCTGTTATTCCAGAAATCCCAGAGCCTCTCTACAAGATTTTATGTTAGGCTCCTATATATTTGCATGTAGCATAACAGCAGTTGTCTTTTATACATCTATTTCACATATATATTGATCGAATTTTTCGAAAATATTCAGGTTATAAAATTCAAGATCATATAGACTTTGGTATAATAATTAAGGCATAAGTACATTTGATTTAACCAAATAATTCTTCAATCTCGCATTAAAAGATTTTATAAAATAAAGTTCCGTTGGTTTTTATTAACAGGTATTATAATTTTTAAAATTAATTTGAAATTAATCATTTATCAAGTTTTTCTAATATTATTACTCTTAACTTATAATATAATTACTTAGAATAAAATTACTAGTAGATTTTTAAATGGTAAAATATAATTTCTTATCTGTACACATATTTTTATATGCATATATGCATACATATATATATATATATATATATATATATATAATTAGCTGATGTAATAAAAAAAATTACGAAATGCATCAATGTAATAGTAAACGAATATAAAAATAACCGTATTTAATTTTTCAACATACTATAGAATAAATATTTAAAAGGCACTTTAATATTTTGTTAATATTGTACAGTATATGGTTTCCAGCGTTAACTTAAAATAAAATCATAATTTACAGTAAATTCTGCTGTAAATTTTATAAACTATTCACATCGGCAGCTTCATACATTAAAATATGCTTTAAAATCACGATACAATTTCATTAATTTTTAATGCGCGATATTCATTGCTCATGAATTACAATGAATGCTTTAACTCATTAAAGTTTACAAGTAAAATAGGGCATTAAACGGGTGATGTTGAATTACAGCGCTGGATTACATAGATTTCCAAGTCTATCTCGCGGAACGAGAAAGAGGAGAGACAAGGATAAGGGTGACGCTAGAGTGGATCTCAAAGGGATAAAGGAATCAAAGCGTTGCGTTGCAAAACAGTAACTCGGTCGTAGGGAAATTGTCAACGCGTGATTTGCATCGTTATTAATTAATGGTTCGGCAAAATTTGCGCATCACAAACTCGCGTGCTATTCTTTATTTTCATACGTATATCGAATTCGACCGATTGCAAATTGTTAAATTACTCTGGGACACTTCGGACACATAAATCAAATAAATCACGTATATCTATGAGGCAATCAAGTTTTCTCTAACTGTACACCTCAGATGTGAAAACTCGGGATGTTATGTACGTATGGCTGGGTATTATTTATTGCACAATTTTTTGCTTTGTATAAGCATAAAATAAAAATTAAATATTTAATACATATTTAATAAATATAATAAAAACGGAATAATATACAAAATATATAACATTCAAAATAAGTAATTGTAATTCTTTACGTATTTCTAGAAATTATGTGCAAATTACAGGATAAAAAATTATGATAACTCAATTTAATCAGTTTTATGTTTTACTCCAAGTTATCCCGCATTATATTAAATTATATTAAATCGTGTACAACGTAAAAAAAAGTGAATTTCAAAAGATAATTACATTTTACACCCTTACAGGTCAAAGGAAAATATATTCTTCACTTTTAAAGTCGAAGGTCTACATATTAGTAATTATTAGATATTTCGATAATATTTTTAAAGATAGTACTTGCAAAATAAAATATCATGCAATTATAGAATATCGTGATATATTGTTTTAGAATATTTTGATAATATATAAAATTATGAGTAAAAAAATTAATCTTTGCATCTGAAGCTTAATGTATAAAAGTAGTTTCGTAAGTCTTCAATAGTACAGCCTTAGCTAAAACCAATTCAATAATGATACATTGATGGTATAAAAATTAATTACCAATAACGTAGCAGTACATTCTATACGGAATTTTAAAAAATAATTAAATTATATATTTTATTGTATTGTGTAGATAAGTTTATCATATACTAAAGGAAATTTTAATATTTTAATATTTCATGTGTCGTATACGTAAGCATTGATTGCATTCTAAATAATTATTTTTAAAGAATAAATTTAATCAATACTTCCTTACAATTTACAAATTATTTCTAAAATATAATTTATTTATATAAAATATAATGTAATTCTAAATTAACTCTGAATAATACTTGTATTTTGAATAAACGTGAATCTTTCGTTCGTACTTTATTCACTAATGCAAAATACAATCGCGCATGAACTGGTACACATTATGAGTAATATATTACGGTATCACTTTAATATTATTTTTTACTAAAAATGTTCAAAAAAAGGAATTAAAGGTTAAGCTGATGCACATTCGTAGAACAATTTATATAAATTATTCTTTCATAAATCTGACCATTTATACGAACAGCTTCGTGCGCTTGACGCTGAATGCTCTTATACTATACTTTATTGGACGTATTATGCAGTAAAAATTCATGGGATACAACATCGCGATCAAAGAAAATAATAAAAACTGGAATGAGTTATTTGATGAAATCCTGTGTATGTATTATAAGTGAAATTATTTCTATTTAATAAAACCACACTTGTATCATAAAAATAACATTGTGAAATAATTTTTCTTTTAAATAAAAAAAAAATTCCTTTAATACTTTTGTATTCCGTGTCGAACAATCGAACTGTGTCAAAATTGTTAAAGACAAAAAATAATATTTATAAAATAAAATTTTTTTTAATAATTATTCGCTCTTTTTATTCTCATATGGTTTTAAAACGGGTATTGAATTATTCGATGCATTAAGAATTATGATATTTTTAAATTTTAATAAATGTCTGCGTGTATTTATAGTTATTATTAAAATTCATATAATAACTATATTGAATTATTATTGTTTATAAGTCTTTCAATTGATTAAAGCATAAATATGATTCACTTTTCAGTTCAACGGAAGCAAAATTAATAAAAGCTATAATTTGTCCGAGAACTTATCGGATATGGAAACTAATAAAAGAAATTAATTTTGAAAAAGTCGTAATGGGACTCTGTGTAAAATGAAAACTTGATGTATTAAACGCAAATGCATTAATATTAGAAAAAGATACGTAAAATGTCAACTTTGGCGAAACACTTGATTCTGAGTTTCACGAGCGTCGTAAACGTGAAAACCTTTTTGTCAAGCCCTAGTAAAAAAAAAAAAAAGAAAAAGAAAAGACGAAGAAGAAAAAACGGCATTTAATATGTTTCAGTTGCTACATCATGGGACGACACTCGTGCACTGGGAATGCGAGGGCGGAACCTCGCGAACCGCACTAGTGTATGCGCGAGTGGACCGAGCCTGCGGCACCTTCCTCTGGGAAAAGCCAAGCTGGAGCTCACTGAAGACAGGGATCACGGGCCCGGGGCCAAGCATCGCCGAGTACAATCTGTCGGCGAACCTCGAGGATGGCACACCGAGTGGCCTCGTGACGCGGTACTCGGCACAGCCGCCGGATTGCGCCTCGGTGAGCCTCGAAGAGGGCCATTTGGACCTATCGTGCGTCAAGGAGGTAATGATCGGCTGCTGTGACCGAGACAGAGACCACGACTTGAGGGCAATCTGCAAGAGGTACGGCTTACCTGGCTCGGACTCTTGTATCGGCCTCATGTACGGCTCCAACCTCTCGGACAATCGGCTCATCTTCTTGCTCTGTCCTCCCGCTTTAAGCAAGTACGTTCCCTCTAAGCTTATATTGTCAAAATTAAAAATCCTACTAATTGTTAATTGCTCATTATATTTAATATATATATATATTGCAATAGAAAATCTCGACTCTGATAATTGTAGTATGAAAAATGTAATAGCTACTTTAAATAATAAATACGAAGAAATGCATTAAATCATAAAAATAATCCCTTCAAATTTCAATTGCAAATGCAGGATTTACATATTTCGGATATTTTTCGAATTGAGCAAAATATTGAATATATTGAATTCACTGAAAATCCATGCATTTGCCAACTCTGTGTAAAGTGAAGTGGATTTAAAAAAAAAAACAGTATTACTGTTTTAAAATGAAATGAGGTGATTTTATTCTTAATGTTTAAATAAAATAAATATTGTAATGGAACAAGTAGATGAAAGGAATAAAGATTGGCTTATAGAATTTTAATTTTTAGTTATGGTTATGATTGAATAATTTAACGATTGAAATCTCCTTTGAAATATTGACTTACCATTACAAAATATATGTAATGCATTTTCAAGTCTAATGAGACACTATTTCCCTCAATCGGTCAAAATATTTGCCTTGATACTCATATAAAATGCCAGAGTTGGTTAAAATTAATCGTGAAATCTTCTTTTATTTTATTTATTTTCATCAAATATATTCTCCATGTTTAAATAAGCGAATAACAAAATACTCTAAAACTTTAATATTAAAATTAATAATAGAATAAAATATAATATTAGAAAAACTATCTTATTGTATTATTCATTCGTTATATATATAATAATTATCATTACTGTTGTTGTTGTTGTTGTTGTTGTTGTTATTATTATTATTATTATTATTATTATTATTATTATTATTATTATTATTATTATTATTATTATTATTATTGTTATTGTTATTGTTATTGTTATTGTTATTGTTATTGTTATTGTTATTGTTATTGTTATTGTTATTGTTATTGTTATTGTTATTGTTATTGTTATTGTTATTGTTATTGTTATTGTTATTGTTATTGTTATTGTTATTGTTATTGTTATTGTTATTGTTATTGTTATTGTTATTGTTATTGTTATTGTTATTGTTATTGTTATTGTTATTGTTATTGTTATTGTTATTGTTATTGTTATTGTTATTGTTATTGTTATTGTTATTGTTATTGTTATTGTTATTGTTATTGTTATTGTTATTGTTATTGTTATTGTTATTGTTATTGTTATTGTTATTGTTATTGTTATTGTTATTGTTATTGTTATTGTTATTGTTATTGTTATTGTTATTGTTATTGTTATTGTTATTGTTATTGTTATTGTTATTGTTATTGTTATTGTTATTGTTATTGTTATTGTTATTGTTATTGTTATTGTTATTGTTATTGTTATTGTTATTGTTATTGTTATTGTTATTGTTATTGTTATTGTTATTGTTATTGTTATTGTTATTGTTATTACTATTACTATTATTATTATTACTATACGTGATATTAAAAATAGAATTATATTTTTAATTGTTTACATATTTTTTATCTTATAATTTATACTCTGTTTCTGTATAATAATATTCAATAGTTACAATATTGGTTAACCGTATACCCTTGATGATAAACAAATTATCGATGGAAGCAATTTGTAAATATAAAATAATATATTTGATAATATTCTTTAACATTGATAAACATCAATTTATGCATATCCGGCCTCAGACCATCCGCTTCTACATCAAACCATTATTCTATTTTCGAGTATTTAACATACAAATAAATGGCTATGTAATTAAATATTCAAAATATTACTAAATTTCTTTCAATTAGTACCATAACATGAAAACATTATGATCATAATTTAATACAATTGAGCCTAAATTTACAACAATAACAACAACAATAACAACAACAACAACAACAAATATTCAATATTTAGTTGTTAACTCAGTAAGAATATAACAATGAAGAATACATGTTATGTGCTTGAAATAAATGATAAAAGGTAGTCGAAATTTCATATTTAACATTATCAAATCCTTGATTTTAATTATCGGGCTAGTTTAAAATGAAAATAGAAAATACATATATGAAAGCATTGAGTTAAAGAAAGTAAGTTGATTGAAATAACGGTAGTAGAAAAAGCCATTCTAATAAGACTTATCAAAATATATTCAGTGCCAAATGTTGCTTGTGAAAAGGGATCTTTGCCGTCAAACAACAATATACCAAATTATCCAATGAAAAAGTCGTTTTACCCCGACACGCTAATTCTATATTATCGATGTAAAAGATAAAGCGACGTTCAATGGCAGATTAAATTATATAATTAAGCAACGAAAATAAATAAGCAAACGTATCGTCGCAACTCCCTTAACTCCCTTACTCCCTCTAGGATATGGTACATGGGCCTCTGCTGGATTCTCCGAGGTCTGAAGCGTCAGCAGCACCTGACGGATCGTCGCTCGCGATGGTTAAAAGAAAAATACCTGCAGCTTTACTTCGAGGAGCGCTGCACGGAGCCGACGACAGCCGATGCTATTCGCGTTTTCGGCGGTAGGGATTGGTCGATGACGGAGAGCATCGGCACCCTCTCGCCTACGAGCAGCAATACGATGCGCAAGCGAAACGCCAAGAGCAAGAAGACCAAATCCATTGGAAACATTCATGCACTGACTAAGGTAAATGGCAACCCGGCACCACGTCCGGGCCCGTTTGTTAATAATGAGATTAGATCTTGCCTAGAGCCGATATTCTCACTGCCCACTTGGAATAGCGAATTGGACTCCTTGGTCATAAATAATTTAATATGCACGATTTACGCTCTTAATTAAATAACATACAATTATTATATGCAAAAATGAATTGCCGTTATTCTTTTTTTAATTACGACGGGCTGTGATGAAATGGAATGTGCATTAAAGCAATTCCATTCCCAGTACAAATAAAATTAGATATCCTAAACTACGTGGATATATATTTTTTTCCCTTATATATATATATATATATATATATATATATATATATATATATATATAGATAAATAGATAAAGAAAAGAGATGTAGCTTGAGTAGGTAAACGTCGTCGTCCCGTATCGATTATTACTTTAGCGAATTGTATGCTCTAAACTCAATTTGTTGTTTAAATTTTAAATTTAATTAAAAGACACTTAATTAAATTAAGAGACGTAAATAGTATGAGGTAAAATACCCTCGCAGGTAAAAAAAGCCGTAATATTAATTTCAGTCTTAAATCTACATGTTGATAAAGTAATAGAAAAAGTCCGTGTGAATGTAAATAAAATGATCGTCAATTCATGAAAAACTGTACCTGTCATGTGCCGCAGGACCTCAGCTTGAAACAATACGAGATTTCATCGTCGGACGGCGGTCTATCAGCTACGCCACTCCGTCACATTCAGGGCAGCAGGGAATCCTTGACAAAAATTATGCCTACCTCTCCACGTATGGCCCGGGATCGTATACCTCCACGGAGTCCACCAGGATCCGTCGAGCGAGTTATCAATCTGCCGTACACCAGCCTTCAAAGGTACTCGCCTACGAACCAAAGTCGTATTTATTTGAATTTCCATTCCTATGCTCATTGGGGCTCGTCCATTAATAAGGAAAATTTTTATAATTTAATACACTTCTTGAGTCTACGCTCATGAATTCCCTTATATACTATATAAACTTCATCGGCGTTAAAAATTATATCATGCAATTTCTCAAAAGTACCATAAACCCGTTGTAATATTATTATTATTTATTTTCATTTTAGAACGCATAGTAATATATAATATAATAATGGAAGCCCGTAAATATTGGTCACTACAAAATTATATTATTATAAAATAAAGTAAGGATAAATAAATTTTCTATTTCTGCAAAAAATTTTAAATTAAATTCTATGAAATGATTATTTATTCTATTGTAATATTTCATTTTCGTTTTCGAAATTTACGAGCACACTAAACGAAATACTTTAAAAATTGTCGGTGATTCGTGATCATCGAAACTTTATGACTTTAGAATTTATTTAGAATAATAGTATTAGTTAAAATTATGTAGACCGTAAAACATTTTTGTATCAAAATACTTAAGTTTCGTCAATGACAAACTCCAATCATTGCTAAACTTGGCACGGAAAAATGAGCAAAAATAAAGCAAAAAATGTAAACCTATCGGCTTTCGTGATACAGAAATTTATAAGTCGGGAGTAGCCTATTATGTGTTGCCAGAGATAAGGAGAAAAATGGCTCAAACATTAGTGGAGGAGGAAGCAGCAGTGGCCTTGGTTTATCTGGAGGAATCGAGGCGACTTGGCAAGTTAAGGCGCGGGCTACTTCCATTATGTACGAGACGCAGCTAAACTTCGTTGAATTTGTCGCGCTCCAAGGAAAGATTTGAGGGACCTTTTCGGCCAATTAGCCATCACCTGCAGAAGCCAGAGTGATGGATCGCTGCGAGATTTCAATATACGACCATCTGTCCTGAGACAGACGAGCGACGCAACGCCACAACGAATCGGTAAGAAACAACATCCGAGAGCTTTTGCAGTATTTGTCAAATAATTTGCAATTTTCTTGGTCGCCATATAAACGTAATGTTATCGCGATAAACTGTTAGCTGCATTGATTATGAAAGGACATACATTAAGAACATACATACAAAAGAAAGAAGATTATTTTATTGGCGACTTATTGTCGATCAAATAGCAAAGTCACTTCGACTAAAATATTTCAAGTATTAAATACATAAAATAAAATGTATTTAACTTGGTGGCAGAATTTAAAAAAAAAAATGTCTTAAAGTGCGTAAAAGTTATATTTTTAAGATGTCTTTCATATTTTGAGGCCACTGGCGAATTACATTTCAGTGAAATAATATTGATTATAATTTGATAAAACTAATCATGATTCTCTTACCTTTCTGAAAACATTCCTAATGCTAATCAACTAGAAGTTACTTAAAAATTTTATAATTTAACATCAAAAAAGCTCTAACGAAAATGTTTCTCGAAAGGAATTGGGTAACTTGGGCAATAAATAATTTTTAGGACTTCGTTTACAATATATCTTCCTGCATTTTCATACAATATAATACTTTTCTTCTAGTTTTATTCTTCTTCGTCATTTAAACAAAGTTATAACTTACCGTATTCAAGATTATTGCATTTCTATATGCATTTCTAGAAATTTATCTAATTAATAGTACGAAATAAGATGATCGAACGCATTTTACTTCTGGTAGCTTAAGGTATAATATACTTAACCCTATAAAATACACACAAAATAAATAAAATAAATTGTATATAACGAATAAAATAAACAGAAACGGTCTAATTCGTTACACGAAATTATTTAAAAATTCTCAAGGGCTTTAATAAATATTTTTACTTAATATTGAATTTAATAATTTTTGTTCGAGATAAATTCAATTTGGTAGTTTTAAAATTTTTGAAAGCAGTTTTCATTATATTGCTATTTAAATTTAAAACCAAAAACGTAGCTTTAACAAACAAATAATATTTTTCTCTATAATTTGAGACTATAAAGAAAACATACTACCTATCATATTTCTTTTAAAATATCTAGTTGTGAAATATTATTTTGAGATAGATAAAAGTAATAACGAAAATGTAAATTAAAAAATTGTTAAAGAATTGTTAAAGAATTGATTGCAAATGTAATTAAATCTCTTTTGCGCTTATTGAATATTGTAATAAATTACGATAATACTTTTATAATTATATTACATTATTTCATGTAATTATCTTCGATTAATAATAACGTCATAAACAAACATAAAAAAAAACACTGCGAAGGAAGTTAATAATTTATTAATATTCATATCTACATATTTTTATGAAAAAGATATTTTTTTTATGTTAGCTTATATTCTTTTTAAATTAATTTCTATGTAATATACTTATTGTATGAATATAATAAATCCATCAAAATTCGTCCGTGACCTATAATTCTTTTACTTTTCTTTTATTTCATTTTTGTTTTTTCAATTAAGAGTATTTTATTTAATTATGAATAGTTACGAATTTTATCTCTTATTAAAAATTAATAAAATATACTCAAAGTGAGGGGCGATTTCCTAATAATAACATTTTTAAAATAACGCGCGACGAATATTGTTTTAGTAGAACATATTAAATAAAGTCAAGTAATCATTTTAACAAATAAATTGAAAAACTTCTTTTACGGTCTTAAATATACTTAATATTTAAGTATGACATATTAAAAATTTAACTTCGAATATATATATTAATTAATTAAAATTTTCTAGTTTTCAATGCATTCTTTGATAATTGACATACTTACGATTACTTAAAGAAGTAATTGCTAATTTTACCTGATTTTTTCATTGTAATATAATTATTTAATAAACATAGTGCATTCGTTTAAGATTAACAACCCTTTGGAATGAAAAATAGTGAAATTTCGTATCATAAATAATCGTATTTTAATAACCTTATTTTATATTGTCGCTATAGAATTCTTCATTTGCAAAAAGATTTGTAACTTACAGGAAAAGATCATGTAAATGCCAAGTTTTATTGAAAAGAATATTATTTTTTTGCTAGGTCTATTAACACGTAATAACTCCATCGACTGTCATGAGTACAAAACCAGCAGCAATTTAGATAAGAAACAAGTTTTCGATGCTATAGCTTCAGCCAGCATTGTAAACAATTGCTCGGGCGTGGACACATCCAAGTCTCAGGTCATAACACTCGCCACATTTACCAAATTTCTTGAGTCCCGACAGCAAGAGAAGCTTGCAGAAGATGAAATTAAGAATCTTATTAAGGTAAGGATAACGCGATTGAAAATTCTTTTACTTCAAATATTATGTGTGTCGTATTGTATAAAGTGTATAAAATTTCTATTTTCATAAAAATCTTTATAATTATTAATAACTATTTTGGGCTCCCATGTCATTTTAAATATTTGCAAACACTCGCAATGAATGCAAAAATATTACTTTTAATATTTTAATTTATTCACTCATGTCATTTTATCATCGAAATTTATTTGACATTGTACATAAACATATTAATATAAGTGAACTTAATTTTTTTAATGTATTATTTTTAATACCTGATAGTAAAATTATTAAATAATAGTATTAACAAATTTCTATATGACAATATTACGTTTATAGGACAATATTTGTCATCATACTTTCAGGACATCATTATTAATTAAAATAGAATTAATATAATAATTAATATTTTATAAAGCGACTATTGTTGGAATTTATAATAAAAAAAGATTAGATTATTATAGATTTGAAAGTAAATGAACATTCATTTTTATTTTATAATAAATATATATATGTTTTAATCGCTTGAATTAATATTCTCATGATTTATTAACACCTAGAAAAGGGCTATTTTTATTATGACTATTTGCCAACAAAATTCAATAACTACATTTTTTTCTTTTAAACATTAATGAATAATGATTATTTTTATATTCGAGTCACTTTTCACGCATATGGACTAATGTTTCATCAAAAATATCAATTGATTATAAACTATGCGACATATAAATTATCTTACATATTTCAATAAAAAAATTCGTTTAGTAAAAGCCTATTTTTTAATTTTAAAATATCAGTATTAAAAAAAAAAAAAAAAAAATACGATAAAAGCAGAATTTTTTAATGAATTTGAAATATTATATTTATAATATATATAATATATCTACATACATATTTATTCAAATTTAAAAGTTTTGCAAAAAAATTTTATGTTTCTTTACTCTAAAAGTATTATAGTAAACGTCGTTTTTCTTACTTTTTCATGTGCAATCAGCCAATGTATAATAATGAGCTTATAAGATTGTAATAATAAAGATTTAAAAGCTTAACGGAGATCAAAGATATTTAATTAAAAAAAATATATACAAACAAAAATGTACTGAAAACTTATACTTACCGACCATCAACTTTCGCATTTATTGTTTCCTTCTTTGTCTGAAACAAATTTATTTCTTATCTTTATTATTTTTTTAACTTGACATTTATCATCATTTATTTACTAAAAGTCTTTTCTTTCTATACTAATGCCTTAAACGAAACTTTTCACAGAATAGCAATTCGAAGCTAATGTAAATTTATGAGTTGTCCGGGCTACGTCAAACGAGTATTAATATGTGTACTGATAGATCAAAAGAGAAATAATGGAGTAATTGTACAATGGTTTTGATGAATAATAAAATTTTAGTTATATTTTCAATTAATACCTCCAATGAATATAATATATATGACGATTATTTTTCGAAATACGATTTTATATGTCGATTATTATATTATCAATTGAAATAAGCATACGAATTATTTTTTGAGATCTTGACATTTTTTAAATATTTAATGTTATATTTAAATTTTTACTAAAATATTATGAAATATTTTATTAAATGTAAATACAAATGACAAAAATCATATACTTTAATTTATACTGTATTTTCGTAATTCTTCGGTTAAATTGCGCATTGAATATGGAAAATATAGACATTAAAAATAATGATTATTATTAAATTTAATTTTTTAAATTTTATTTTTAATTTTATTAATATTTAAGTAAGCCTCAAAAGCACAATTTTATATATTTAAAACATAAAGGGATAATTAATCTTATACCTCTAAAATATTAAAATGTTTATAAGTACGTAAAAGACTATGTATTAAAATTTCGAAAAACATTACAAATGTACGAACAATTATTGTATAGATATAAATAATTGATTGCGTTATTTTCCAGTGTACAAAATAATAGAATGACCAAATAAATTATATTAAAAAACACTACGATTTTGAAATTATTCTGTTTAATATGAGTAACATGTATTACTTTCTTTGTATTTTTTACTTAAGAAATTATCAGAAAAAAAAGTAATATTATTTTCGCTATAAATTTTCGGGGTATTTTATTTATTACATAAAATTATTGAAAGTAATTATTTTCCATGAATTGCCAAAAGTAATGTAAAATTTTCTTTGAAAATACTTAAAGTAGTTTCTGAAATTATCGTGTTATAAATAATATTAATAATAATAATGATAATAATAATAATAATAATAGCTATTAATATAAACCTTTTACATCAAATTATTGCGTTTAATAAAATTCATTTATAGAAACTTATGATTGCTACTGTTTGCAATTTATTCCTCGACAAGTAAAGTCTCTTTGAAATAATTATGGTTTCTCGTCTCTCTCGTCTCTCTCTCTCTCTCTCTCTCTCTCTCTCTCTCTCTTCCATCCTCTCCCCCTTCCCTTACACCTCCCACTCGTCCTCGCTGTCCATCCACCATCCATCTGTTTTCATCACTACCTCCGTAGCATGAATGTCCACGTAGATACAGAGAGGCAGTAGTTACGGATTTGGGATGTGTTTGCTGTCATTTTGCAGAGGCACGAGCCAGACCCGGTGCTGCGTACACAATGGTGTTTGTCTTTTGAGGGTTTCGCCCGCTACATGATGGACAAGGATAATTATGCCTTTCCCAATGAATACGCCTTACCTGATGAGTGCGAAATGAAACAGCCCATGTCGCAGTACTACATAGCGAGCTCTCACAACACGTACCTAACCGGTCACCAGCTGAAAGGCGAATCCTCTGTGCAGCTCTATTCACAGGTAACCTGACCAGCCCCACCTCCGATCCTCCCGCACTACAAAACATCTCATACCGCGACTGTACACACTATCTTACATAAGACATTATCTGTGAGCTTAACGTTATTGAAACGCTTAATTGACTTGAGTCTCTTTCCGCATAATTGCCTAAGTTACAAACATTCTCTTATTTCATAGACAGAAAATAATCATCTGTTATTCGTGACCTAATCGATCTTTAATTAATATCCTCGAATTTCATGCACTAATGATCTATGCGCGTTATTTAATATAAATAATAAGTTGACGATTTTATTTAAACGAAAAGCACAAGGCACTTTTATTCGTTATTGATATTATCCAAGATGTGTTTCTCCCATGATGAACAAACTGTCTCAATTTTCACGTCAATTTTCAAGATTCTTCTTATAATTTATAAATCCTACCAATTTCCGTTTATGTCAATTCAAAATGCTCATCCGAATACGGTAACCTTCAGCTTCATTAGTAAATAATTTCTACGGAATAATAAATTAATAATGATAAACAATGTATAAATGAGTAAATTTTATAATTATCATTAGAATAATATGGCGATGTAAATCTTAGTAATAAAGAATTTATGTAATAAAGAAATAATGTAATAAAGATGTAAAATAAAGCAATTGTATAATTTTGTAGGAATATTAAATGGTAAATAAGCGGTTTCGATTAAAAGTATCATGCATTAATTATTGCCTCATGTATTTTTATAAAGATGCCTCTATTCTATCAATCGTTATCTCGTATGTGACAGGTATTACTGACCGGCTGTCGATGTGTAGAATTGGATTGCTGGGACGGCGATGATGGATCTCCTTTAATTTATCATGGACATACCTTCACGACCAAAATTCCTTTTCGATCTGTCGTCGAAGCGATTGACAGAAGCGCATTTATAAGTTCGCCATATCCAGTAATACTTTCCATAGAAAATCACTGCTCACAGAGTCAACAAGCACGAATGGCTCAGATCTTCCAGGTAATCCTCCCGACTCTCACTCTCTATGTGCCTGTCTGTCCAGAAACTATTTGATTATGCAGAACATTTTATTTCAGCATTCTTATAGCCAATATTGCTGATAGTGAAAATGTAAATGCACCAAAGTACTTCCCTATCCTTAATGGCTATTGTATAAATATAATATCAATAATCTAATAATTATGTTGTATTACATTATGTTTTTTGTAAATTAATAAAATTTTTTTCTATATATAATAATATAAGTCACGCATATTATTTCGTATATTAATTTGAGGGGGGAAAAGGACGGGAAACGTTAATGCATTGATAAATCTAATTTTTCTTCAGATAAATAAAAGAATTTTGTAAAAGACATTTGTTTAAAAGTATTTTTCACACATTCTACTATCGTAAAATAATATTCTAAATCATAAAATAATTTTAACTAAATCGTATAAATTATTATTCATATTTAACTCATAATTAATCTAGCCTTAGAACATAATTTTATAGATGCCATTGTTATTGTTAAACGATCGTTGAAAGATATTTCAATTGATATTTGTTACAAGACGGCTAACATAAACTTGGAACAGTATTTAAAATTCTTAAAAAGATATTTCATTTTCTTTAAATTTTCGTAATGCAATAACTTTGTAATTTTTTTCCACCATAATGCAATACTTCAACATCATAAAGTAAGGTATAACAATACTATACATTTTATATCCGAATACTTATAGCAAATACTTTATTGAATTTTCCTATTAAAAAAATAATCCTTATGAAACTGCACCGTATAGTTTATAATATGAAAAATTAATCGTTGCATAAATTTAAAAATAAAAATACGATAGACGAAAAGTTCACTGAATAATATAAATTTTACAGGCGGTCTTCGGAGAGAAGCTAGTAACCAATTTTTTGTTCGAATCGGATTTTGACGATCCACAGCTACCTTCGCCGTCCCAGTTGCGCTATCGTATTCTCGTTAAAAATAAAAAATTGGTAGTCGATCCTACAGGACCTCTGGTACCTCTGCCAATGCCATCACACCGCGGCAAAATGCTTATATCTGAACGGGCCTCGTCAATGAAGCAAATGCGAACTGATATTAGCAACACTTCCGTCGTTGAATATTACAGCGAAGATGAAGATGATGACGAGGATGATGACGAAGACTATAATGTCGATGGTTGGTATTAGTATTTCACAATTATTTATATTTTTAACTTCAACTTTATTTAATAAAATTGAAAAAAAACATTTTGCACTAAAATAGTAACAATAATAACAATTGTTATTTTATAATAGATAACACACTTTATCAATTAGACTTCTTTATCCATCATACATTGTAATTATAGTGATATATTTACAATATTAATATATTGAATATTTTATAAATAAACGTTATAAGTACATTATTTTGATTATTATTTGCAAATAAACCATTCAATCTGAGCCAAAATCTTTAATTATTAATTGGTGTTATCAATATCATTTTATTTTAAAAATTATAAATAAAATTATCAACAATACTTCGGTAAAAATGATCGACTAATAAATTACTTTCCGATAATATACTATAAATTCAATTATTAAAATCATCTCAATTAATTAAATTATATTGTAACCAAAATGTAACTGTAATAACGCAGTCACAATTGAATCGATACTATTCTGAAATTTCATTTCATATCTTAGATACGATATGTAATAATGTAATATTTAATAAAATTAGATTATTTTAATTAATAGATTGATTAATACTAATTACTAATATTGATAATTAATATATAATAGAACGATTTTACTGCCTTGAAACCATTTATTATAACAAAATGAGGCCCTTCGTATTTATTCGAAATATTCTATAAAATTAAACTAACTTTCAATTAAATTATAAGTTAAATCAACTTTATTTATTAATAAATGAAAATGTTTTCTTTATTATAAAATTAATATAGATATTTTATTTGTTCCGTAGGTTAATGTTATAATTGTAAAAGAAAATATTCATACGGGGCAATGATAATGCCATAAATAATTAATATTATATTGTTATTCAATTAAGAATATTAAATCAAAAGTTATAATTATAAACCAATACCCGTAGCTCTCTGTAAATATATATTTCATGTACTCCTAATGTTTATATTCACAAAAAGGTAATTTGAACGCATGAATGTACAAACAGTCTAATTTACATTATATATATATATATATATATATATATATATATCGGTGGAGTAGTACGCTAAAGCTAATGGAAAGTCATACCAAACTTGTCAAACAAATTAATGAATGCACTAATATAAGTACTAATAAATTCAATGACTTAATTAAAATTAACAAAGGATATTAAAAGAAATAGGAATTAAAATATAATATACAAAATGAAATAACTAAGTAATTTGTCATAATATTCTATTAGAATTTTAATTATTAGTAAATCCATATAATATAAGATTAAAAATGATCAAATTAATCCACAATTGGCATTATGTAATTGGACTTAAGAGCAAAAAATATTAATCGTCATCGATAATACTAAATATAAATAAATCTTAATATAAATCATAATCTTAAGTATTAGTTAAGAATTCATGCTGAATTATTTATATTAAAGTAAATAATATTAAAGTGCCGTTATACTTATAGACGTAAATACAAAAATTGAAACAAATATTCTTAAAATACAACCAGACCCATGCTCGCATACATAATTTTCAGACAACTCGATCTCCAGTTATGAGCGTTACCTGGGCAATAGTCAGGCGTCTCATACTCGCTTGAAAAACGACCCCACAGTGGACGACAAAGCGCAAAAGCAAAGTAGCCAGATAGCCAAAGAACTTTCGGACCTCGTTATTTACCTTCAAGCAATCAAGTTCCGTGGTTTAAACACAACACCCGGCCCAACAACCATGAGCAAATCCCGACATCAACCACACACGGCCCAAGTCCAACGTCACAGTATCGCCGGCATTGGTACAAGTGGTATGGCCGGTTCATCATCCGGTTCACCCCAGAGCTTATCAACCTCGACATCCATTGCCAGTAGTGGGAGTACTATTGAAAATCCTTTCAGGTCAGTGCGACCTGATGCATTACTCTCGTCTACTATCCTACTTAATTTATTTGCATTCAAATTCGTTGAATTATACTTTCGACATTAGTAGTCTTATTATTTTCAATGATAGTGCCAATATAGAAACATCGCATAGTAGTATCACGCGATAACGGCATAAAGCACAGATAATTATCATTTACTTTGAAACGTTGTAAATTAAATTACTGCATATATAAGTTATTAATTAAAAAAATTTTAAACATAGTAAAAAAGAGGAACGAAATAAAGGATTTTTCGTCTTGGCAGTTAAACTTAATCGCTTAAAATTTAATTATTTTTAAGAAAAGAACCACGAGTGAATAAATCACAAATGCGTTTGCTTCTTTTTTTTTTCATTTATCTATAAATTTTGTTTCCGTGTGTTATTATTTAGATCACAAAGAGGTATGCCGGCTTGCTTTCAAACGTCATCGTTAAATGAAAATGCGGCTAAGAAAATATGTAGAAAGCAGCCCTTAGGAGTTTTAACGCACGCAGAGACACAATTAATCAGAACATATCCAGCCGGAATGAGAATAGACTCGTCGAACTTTAATCCAGTAATATTTTGGGCCTTTGGAATTCAAATGGTCGCACTTAATTATCAGACGGATGACGCGGCTTTACATCTCAATGCGGCCATGTTCGAACAAAATGGACAGTGTGGATTCGTGCGTAAGCCCTCGGTTATGTGGGACAAGAAGCATATGATGTATAGGTGGGTTAAACAATTTAATATTATTACAAAGAACAAACTAAAAAATCATAATTATTAATAACAAATTATTAAGATAATCAATTGATTATAAATATAATAAATGGCAAAAGCAATAATGAATGAATGAATGAATGAAAGAATGAAGAATGAAAAAATGATACTCGTTGATTTGCAATACATACATACATAATTAATCGATTGCAAAGACAATCGTTTATGATCGATGTTTTGATAAAAAAAAATAAATAAATAAATAAAAAAGAAACAAACAAACAAACAAACAAAAAATTCGAAATGTTTAATAAATTTATTCGCTTAAGATTAATAATGATAATAATAATAAAGATTATTAATAGATTTGTATATCCTTTTAGGCGCTTCAATCCATGGGATAAAGAATTTGACGGTCTTCATTCAGCCCATCTTACGCTTTCTATCGTCTCTGGCCAATATGTATCACCTTCTAACTTATTAACCAGTACTTATGTCGAAGTAGAATTAGTCGGTATACCAATAGACTGTGCAAAGCACAAAACTAAAATTATTCAAGGTAATGCCTTGAATCCTATTTGGAACGAAAAATTCTGTTTTCAAGTAATGTTCAAAGATCTTGCTTTTCTACGCTTTGGGATCATTGATGCTAGCTCCCATCATCCAATAGCCCAACGTGTCTTACCCTTGAAATGTTTACGACCCGGTTATCGACATGTTCGCTTGCGTTCTATGAAAAACAAGGCACTTGCCCTTTCGACACTCTTTATTTACTCCCGAATGGAGGAGGAAAGTCTCGATTATAACACTTGTTGTCGCGATCACAAGGAGTCCTCTAAGCGACTATCATCCAATAAGGAACCGGAGAAGCTTACCACGGTAGATGCGGGACTCGGTAGTATTACATTAAAGAGGCGAATGTTTTTCCTCATGGTTGATCATGTTGTAGACGACGAACCTTACACTATTCTGAAGGTCACGCAAGAGAGCACTACGCAGGAAGTTATGCTCCAGGCTCTTCAAAAGGCTAATATATCACCGGATCATGTGGACGAGTATATCCTCGTCGAAGAAGTATCGAAAGGTTGGGAGAAACGTGATCGCGAAGAGCTTCCAACTCGAAGAGTTCTCGATCCTACGGAACGACCATTAGAGGCTCAAGACGAATGGAAAGGCCAGGGTCGTTTTCTTTTTAAACGCGTTGGAGACGATCCAAGCAGCCGTGCTTGGCTGGCATCCATCAGAAGTACCGCCGGTCATTCAAAACTCAGTGGAAATGGAAGCAATCGAGATCAAGCAGCTCATATCTGGGAGGAGGCGGATACCTTCCTCGTATGCATCTATAACGTATCCCCAGAAATTCCCTACGCTATTCTTCGCGTGCCAGTTACAAGCACAGCTCAGGATGTATTAGCTCAAGCATTAGTCAAAGCTCGTCGTATGGAAGATCCAACCAAGTTTACCCTAGTCGAGGAACTCGAATGGGGTGGAACAAGAGCAGTGGGTAGTGGCAAATACCAATTCCGAATACTTGGCGATAATGAAAACGTCTACAATACTCAAGCATTTTGGAAGACGTTGGGTAGATTTATCCTGAGAGAGCGGGAGCAGGCCATACCCAGAAGACACCTTTTGCCTGCAACACTTGATAAGCTGAGTAAAGGATTCTCTGTAGGTAGATCAGTTTCATTACCTGGATCAAGTAAGGAAAAAGTCCCAGTCGCAGAAGCACTATCGGATCCAACTTCTCGTAGTGTCAGAAATCGGCTTTTATTAACGGGTAGAAGAAGAGAGGTTCACTCAGACGGAGAAGATGCCAGAGAGTCGGATCTTATGAATGCCGCTATGCAGCTAAAGAAGATGTCATTAAGAAAATTTTGCGCTTGGAAATCATAGTGGCAGTCGAGGGCGACGTCGCTTTCCTCCATGTTCTTATCTAAGAGGAACTAATCTTGTTTAAAAAAAAAAAAAAAAAACAACAACAACAACAAAAACAAAAATGTCATAATAGCCAAAAACTTGCACGTCGCCCAAATATTAATCAAATTGTGGATAGGTAGATTCTTTCTTTATCGCAAAGGAACGAATTGTGATTTTCTTTTTTATACTCCTGACAAATAATAAAAGCAAATATGAAGATGATATTGATATGAAGCTAATTGATAATAATTAACGATCGGTTAATATTTTAAAAAATTGTGGAACAATGCTTCATAAAACATAAAAACCTATATACGTATATTTTATCTGTTTCAATGGTTTTTTGCTTATTCTTTCAGACAATAATCAGTTGACGGAATGCACGGCACACGTGTTTTATTTGACCACGCTTTAAATTATTCATTAAATTTTCATTTAGAATTTATCCTTAACAGCAATGATTTTTATTAAAAATTTGTTTGGCATTCAATTACTATTAAATCGCGTATTTTCAAATTATCTTTATAAGATATTACAAATCAATTGAGAGCTCTTGTATTCATTTCCATATGAAAGTTTCAAATTTTTGTTCACAAATGAGCTATTAACAAATCCCTAGTCGTTATTAATTTTCAAACTTCTATATAACACAAACATATTTGTGTATACATTGAGAATACATATAATTAAATTTTTCATGTATATATTTACCAATAAAAAGGCTTATAATACAATGGAATACAAAATAAATACAGTTAAAATGCCATAATGCTGAGACACTTGACTCACCTCATTAAATGAAAACAGAAATTAATAACAATAAAATGCCTACTCTAAATTACGCTATTTGTATTTAAGCTGAATAAAAAAAATATTGACAATGATGTACTGCGTATGTACATAATATATTAGTTTTCTTACGGCTTTCTCGAAGCCACTTAAAGTGTAAAATACCATAGTAGGCTCGTAAACTTTTATTTGAAAATCCTGATGTTAACATCTTTTATCTTATCTAATAATAAAATAAAATAATGAGTTACACATCGGACGAAAAACAGCGAGAAATACAACGGTGCACAATATTTTCAGGTATTGTACTTCAGTATTCTCTTGCATTATCAGTAAATGAAAGAAACCCAAGACGAATGCTTCTTAAAACCGTAAAAATTGTCTATCTTATTGGAATGTGCATAAACATTAAATTAATTGAATATAATTATATATATACGTATTATATCGAATACGATTAACTAGTTTGAAGAACTTCATTTGGAAGTAATATTCAAATTTACTATGATTCTTAAACAGTGAAAATTGTAATGTTAAATTATAAATTAATAGGAATCTTTATTTTACAAATATAAGTAAATCTTAATTTTAATAATTAGTTGGACAAAAATTTTATCCATCAATATGCTTTGTAAATTATAAAGTAAATTATTAATTAATAATGAAGTAAATTATTTTACGCTCTAAAATTTACAAAATAAAAACGTTACAAATTTACAAGATGCTTTCACCTATTATATATATACAGATATTTATAGAGTATAAACTTTTTTTCTTTTTTTTAATTAATCTATGAAAATAGAAGGTTTATTTGTTAAGCGTTCGCCTTGTGGCTTAAACAGTCTTTAATGGGGTCTAAAAAAGGCACTATTTGTTATGCACAGATACCCCCTGAGCTATAGCAATCGCCGAGATAATGTTCTTTGGACTTAGTGCGATGATAAAATAATTATGCACAATAGGATTATCTAAGTAATGAAAATAAATAATCGTTTAAAATACTAATATAAGCTTGAAACTTGAACGGTGGACTAGACCTATAAATTTTCATTCGTGAAATAATGTGTATATGTGTGTATACACATGTATACAAAGAAATTTTAATAGAAAAAACTCATCGAGTGCCAATTGCGTACACTTCCAAGTCAATGTCAGCGCCATCGATTCGTCGATCTCACACTCGAAGATCGCTAAAAACTACTTTCAACCGCTTCTCCATAACATTTTATCTCAAACGATAAAGTACAGAAAAAGTGCGCGAGACAGGAAATTATTAAGAAAAGCAATAATCCCCATTTTCTTGTCTCGCGCCTAAAGACTTTTATTTTTCTACAACGAATAAACGATAAATAAGTAAGTTATTATCACTCGCTTAAAATCCTTTTCAACTAATTCCTTTATTTTTATCTATACATTAATTATTATTCTAGTTTTAATTTGGAAATTTATAAACGTAATTCGGTTATGTTGTTATTTAACTTTCTGAACAGTAATATATATTATAGTTTTTATAAGCATATTTATTTTCAAAATCTTTAGGACAATCTATTATTCCAATTGCTCTTTAATCAGAAGTAAATCAAAATTAATTGAAATACTAAATTAATTATTTCAGAAAAATTTTTTATATTTAAAATTTACTTTTATCGAATAAATATAAATATTATTCGTAATGATGAACAGAAATATTAAATAACCAAATAATTTAATGGTTCACAAAATAATGAAAGAATTCCGTCATCTATATCGATAAATTTGCATAAAAAATTCATTGTCTTCATCAATTAACACACAGTACCTCTTATACAATTTACAAGTAAACGGACCAGTAAAATTTTAAACGTATATTAATTAAACAGTATTATAAAACTTGCATATCTAATGTATTTCCAAGCATTTGTAATTTTGGTTTTTAAATTTTAACGAAATTTTATAAAGTATGAGTAATATATTAAATCATAAAATTGATGAAGACAATTGATGAAGTAAAGAAGGCAAATACTTTTAATTACTTTCATTAATTCTTGTTCACAAAATACTACGTTAAAAGAATTAACTTTATCTACATTGTGTACCTGTTACGATCGATGGATCGACGCGCAATTATTTATATAATTCTTTACGATCTCGATTTGAGATGGACATCGATTATGCGTAGAGCAATGAATTCTTTGAGAAATAATAAAGAATTACAATAATATAATAACGTAGTGAATTAACGATATTGAATATATAAAATTAAAAGTTTAAAAATGATTTCCTCTGTATTATATATAAATAGAATTTCGAACACGAACTTAGTTTCTTAAAACTGTAACTTAAACAATGAGAATAACATTTATAGTTTTTATTTTATTATTAAGAATTATGGGTAAAATGAAATTATTATCGATAAATTGAAAAAAAAAATTTTTGTTATTTACTAATTATATATATATATATATGTATCAAATTAAATTTACAATAATATCGGTTCCACAAATATTATCAATATTAGTATTCTTAGATTTACGCAATTTTCCAAATATTTTAATATAATTTTACTTTGATATTATCAAATATTTAAGCAATATTTTGTTGAAATAAAATTATATATATAGAAAAAATATTTCGTGTTCGAAATTAAGAATTAGGAATATCCTATTATCTTCCTTACAAAAAGCGTATGCATATCGACAAGAATTAATATTAATTTGTAGGTGACACTGCTTTTACGATCATTGCGTCTTATAACAAAGTACGTAATTTATGACTACTTTTAAACGTTCGGGACCATATTCATATGATGATCAATGGAATAAAACTACGCAAAATCGAAAAACTAAAAAAAAAAAATAAGACAACTAATTGTTCTGTCAAGGAACCGTGAGCAGTATTACATTATAAATTCATACCCTATCCTTTTCCTATCACGTTAAAAATTATTATAAAATAATTGTAATCATATATATAATTCATATATGCATAAGTAATTTTTGTTATCTGTATTATAATATATATACAATACGCACGCAAACATAAATAACCGAAAAGTCAACATTAAGAAAAATAAACACATCACACGTACAATGCAGCGTCTATTAACAGTATAAAAAAATTTTCATATTTTCTTCTTTTCTTATCGTATCTTCTGAATTAGTATTGATAAGCAATTTATAATCTCTATATATGTTAGGGTCGAATATAAAATATATAAATACTAATATATAAATGTATGAACTACATCAATAATCTTAAAATATAAATTATCTTACAATTACTTACAAATACCTTATGTATAAACCTTGAAGTTTTCATTATAATATCATCAATTTTAATAATAATTATGAAATTTATTTTATTTATGTGTTCGTGTCCGTGTTTGTGTAGCTATATGCATGCATACGTGGGTGCATATATACGCGTGTACTTGAAATTCGAAGCGTTGAAACTTTGAAAACTATAATCAAAATAGAAAAGAGTAATCATTCTTTATAAAAGTATTACATTTTTTTAAATTCGTTAATTATAATGATTGTAAAAAAAATATTTAACGAAAGTTTTAAATATCTTTAAACGTTTAATTAATTCTTAGACAGTAATTTGAAGAAAGGTATATGCCAATAATTAAAATAACTAAAAATAAATAATGCATTATATTTAAACTAAAATATATTATTAACTATTATTTAATAAAAAAGATTTTATAAACCGTTTGTATTACTTTTCTGAAATGTATAGATTGATGAATAATATTAACGAAATATTTTCAATTCTATTTTATAAAAGACATTTATTTAAAAGAGTAATTTATTGATTTTAATTAAATTAAAAGATTTTCATTATAATAAATAAATTAATAAAAAATTTTAATCAATTAATGAAAATGATATTAATCACATTTAATAAAATATTATACCTCGTCGAAAAATTTAAAAACGTAATTATTTATCAATTAATAATATATATATTAAAATTTATAATTTTATATTAAATTATACATTTTTAAAAACATGATATAACTGAAATCAAATAAAATTTTCATTTATCTTGTTAACAATATTTATTCTACTATAGAAAAGTATGGAATTTTGTATACTTACATTAAAATTCATTTAAATTAAGCTATTAAAGAAGGTATTGGTTATTTTAAATATACGAAATTTATGAATGATAATTTTATTAATATATTTATCAATTTGTGAAAATATAAAAATATCTTTACGATTAAATTGTTCGATTAATTTTCATACCATTGATTTCCTTTTAGAAGCCTTAAATCGTTCGGGATGAACTTAAGAATCACAGAATGTATTAAAATAAGATAATTATTAGAAATATAGTACAAAGCTTTTATATTAATACAGATTCAGAAGATACAATAAAAAAGATTCACATAAATATCACACGTATATATCACATTTTAAAGTATTCGATGTTTTATATCTCAGAATAAAACACAAGCCAGTCATATATCACACATGAAAAATAAAAAACACATATAATGTATATTAAAGGAAAATTAAGAATATAGAAATTTAATTGTTTGTTATACGTTTCTTAAAACTTTTCAAATATACTGGCTGGCCGGACTAATTTGAGAAGAACATCCATAGTGTTATATCTATTACAACAGTTTATTGAAAAATTTTATAAAGTTTATTGTCGAAGAAAAAGTCTAAAATTTTAAACACAATCGTTATAATGTTTAATATAATTTAGCGCATACGCTTATCACGTGTACAGATCTTAAATGCAAATTGAAATAATTTAGAAGCCTTCGATACTTTGAATTAAACATTTTTTATAGTTTATGTATAAAAATCTAATTGATACTATAATACAAGTGAATTATTATATGTTCGATAGTATTTTAAAATTTTATCATTGATAAACCTTTATAATTATAATTATGAAATACATTTTATATGGTTTTCAATATTGTTCAATATATTTCTTATATAAGCTCAATAAAATCGAGCACGTACGAATAATATAAAAGTTTATTTTATAAAATTCATTTAACAATTATATAAAATTGAAAATTGTATAAATACATTCGATTTAATGTATTTTATTTATAATTATACATTGAAATTTGAATAAGAGTTTGTAAACAAGTAAATATTAATGAAGAAAGAATAAACTATGACATAAAAAATGTTATTTTTCAAGATAACGAAGTGTAAAGTTACTATAATGAATTATTTTTCGAATTAAAATAAAAATCCTTGAATAATAGCGATCTCTTCTCAATCTCATAAGAAAATTGAATATTAATTTTAATATGTAATATTGTACGTTAAAAGGTGCAAATATAACGTAATTACACGCGTCGTTTTAACCAAATTATAATTTATACTCTTTCATCGTATAAATAAAATTCATTCAAATAAATTAAATTTATAAGTTATAAGTGAATTCGTTTACCTTTTTATTTTATTAAAAAAATTTATTCTTACCATCTTTCTATATACGTATGAAATTGTACTTAGGTTGCGGTTGTTTGTACCTACAGTCACAGTATTGATATCGACAGATTTACATATACTTTGTTCTATCATCTGTATATAGCATGAATATTTTACGACCTATTTATGATTTCCTAAAACGTATATTCTCTCTCGCTATTTCTACTTGTCTTTTACTTTGTACACTTTCTACGCTAACGTATTCTTTCTTCTCTCGGGAACACATACGCTTTCATAACGAAAAATAAGTATACAAATAAAATATCATAATACAAGTAGTATAGAACACAGAAGGCGCAAAAAATCTGTGACAAGAAAAAATATGAATATAAAGAGTTAACAAAAACAACTGTGTAAAAGTTAAAACATATATATCTTAGCATGAAGTGCAGATAATTTTTTCAAATTATGATAAAATCTAAAATTGTCACTTCTTTGTGCTTGTTCGTATTATAAATATATGCACAAAATTTTAGAGAAGAATAATATTATTAAGAAATATATTAATAAAAATAATAATATTAATACTAGTAATAATAACAGTAATAATAATCATAATAATAATAACAATAACAAAAACAACAACAACAACAACAACAACAACAACAACAACAACAACAATAATAATAATAATAATAATAATAATAATAATAATAATAATAATAATAATAATAATAGTAATAAATGACACTTCTGTATTTTTTGCAAGTACAGTATAGAATTAACAACTGAAATGCACTATTAACGCTATGAAAATATCACCATATCATACTTTCTTGAAATCGTTTTTACGTAAGTAGTTTCTCTTCGTTCATTTCTGAAGTAGAGATTAAATTTATTACTAATAAATATTAAAGTAACAAACGTCTAATCCACAGCATGCGTCTACTTAGATTATACAAATTACGAATACTTATAATTATTACAATAATTATTACATTATTATTAACATTGTTGATGAATCTACATGTAAATAAAAATAAAGAGCATTTTTATAAAACTTTAGATTTTATTGATTTTTTTCAGTATCTGCAACATTTATTGCTTTATAATTTAGAAACATATCGATAATTTTATTGTTGAATTCATAATCCTATTACATATAATAATTCTTCGAAATTAACTACAAATTCAAATAAATAAATGAAAACATAAAATAATAAATCATTTTATATTCAATATTAATATTTTATCTGTTACGATAAATGTATAAAATCTGAAAAAATTGATATAATATTAAAAATACAGATTAAAAATATTCATTAAATTATAATTTGTGGATTTTGTTTTAACAATTCCAATAATTAAAATAAAATTTTCACTCAGAATTGACTATAGTTATTATTATAATTAAAGTTTAAAAAATATTTAATTTACATACATGCAATCAATCAGTTTCCATTGCAAATAATTGTTAATCATTTGTATATATATATATATATATATATATATATTTATTTGTATGTTATAACTATTATACTTATAAAGAAGCAATTTTTAATAAAGTTTATTAATTTTATTTTCTAAAAATTTTTATTAATAATTATATGGAATTTCAAATAAAAACAAATAATTCAGATTTTAAAACATATTTTCGTCAATTTTATCAGTCACATTCACATATAACGTGTAAATTTTATAAATATCTTTTGCTTTCCTGATAAACTATTAAATTTAAATATATTTTCTTTTTTATCGTAAACTGAGTTATATAAATTATATAACGTTTAAAAAATTTCAAATAATCTTAATTATAATAATTAAGGTTCTTATAGTAATACATAATTTACATAATCAATCATATACATTGAATTAGATAAAAATATTTTATTCAATGCTTTTTTACATAATTTTAAAATGATAATAAATGCAAGAATTATAAATATATTATACACATATTAATTGTTTACTTCTTTGTGAAAGTAGCGATATATCCCAAATTATAATCGATATAATGTTTATTATTATGATAACATTTTTATTTAAAAGGAATTTGGAATTTATTTTATGTATAATAATTTCATTTGCATTAACTTTAAACAGAATGGTGAATATTTGTTTTTATATAAGAAATTGAAAAAAGAAAAGCATATAATAATATCAGTAATAATAAAAGCTGTGAATAAAATTTCTTTATATTTTTAAGAATTTAAGAAATTGTAGTATCTTATCTTATCACGTCATTCAATAATTACGCTGATAATTTTATTAGTGCGAAATAAAAGTCAGTTTACTTTCATTCTTAATCCAGATATTTACAATCCATAATTTTTTTTTAGCTACCCATAAGCAATAATCTTGTCAATATGCCGGTAAGTTTAAGTACAATTATAAATAAAAGTTCACTCATACTATCTTTACGTAGACAAATGGCTTTGTCTGTTATATATATTAAATTATATGTTACAAACATATTTATATATATATATATATATATTTTTTTTTTTAACAGAATATAATCTTCACATACAAAGGAGTCATAGCCCCAGTATTTACACCATTCAATAATGATGAGTAAATAAAAGGTTTTTAATATTAAATAGTATTAAACTATTGATATTAATTATTATAAATAATTGTTTTTATTGTAGTGACCGAAGTTTAAATTTATCAATTATTTCTGATTATGCTAAATATCTTGCCAAAAAAGATATCAACGGTGTCCTTGGTACGCTTTATCTAAATATTATAAAATATTAATATTGTTACAATTTACAGAAGTCATACATTATTTTTAATATATATATAGTATTAAATATATTAAATTATATATTTGTACTATAAAATATAAGCTAAGCACATTAATTATTTTAAATCATTTTGAAATAAGAATTTGATTCGTACAATAAGTATAGTCAATAAATGAAAGGTAGAACTTTTCTTTCATTTTAATTATAATCAATTGGTATTAATTTATTTGATAATTACACTTTGTATTTAAAGAACTGATATTATTTTATTACAAATACACATTTAGTTAATGGAACAACTGGAGAGGGAACCTCTTTATCTATTGACGAAAGAAAAAAAGTAGTAGAAGCTTGGGCAGCTGCTGTTAAAGAAACTAAACAACATTTAATGGTCCAAGTTGGTGGTACAGCTTTAAAAGATGTAAAAGAGCTTGTAAGTACTGGAAAATTATACCATAATTCACTTTATAAAAATTGTCTTAAAAGCAATAGATATTTTATTGTACTATTTTACTCTACTTTTACTATATATAAGAAAATATTAATTTAATACATAATTCGTACAAAATGTAAATAATAATTTTATTTATTCATTAATTTTAGAAGTATCAATTGAAAAAATTGTCTTAAATATAAATTTATTTATTTTAGGCAATACATGCTGAGCACTTCAAAGTAAACTCTCTTTTATGTTTACCTGAGTTATATTTTAAACCAACTACAGCAGAGGAACTTACAGAATATTTAAAAATTGTTAGTAAATCTGCTCCAAGTACACCCCTTTTGTACTATCATTTTCCGAAAGCTTCGATGGTTAATAGTAAGTAACTACATATATTTTAAATAACAAAATGATATATGTTCATATATACAAAATATATAATATAATAATTTTTATAGTTCATATGGGAGAATTTTTGGAATCGATTGGCGAAAAAATCCCTACATTCTGTGGCATCAAATTTACCAGTAACGACTTAGAAGAAGGGTTGCAAGCGATGAAAGCCAATAACAATTTAACAGTATTTTTGGGTAGTGATACGGTAATATATAACCGTATTAATTATTTTTATTAAAAATGAAAATTCAACATATTATGTAACAAAATATTATTTACCATCAGTTAATGGCAGCTGGTTGTACCATAGGAATAGATTCATTTATAATGACCAGTTTAAATTTTATACCAGAACCTGCATTAGAATTACTAGAATTTGGTAGAGGTAAAAGAAATTTATTGAGTGCTCGAGAGAAACAAGACTACATCAATAAAATTATTACAAAAATAACATATCATGGTAACTAAATTAATTTTTAAAAATTATATAATTATCTAATCGATCTTTTACTTATTTATCTAAACAATTAAATCTTTACTTGATAGGAACTTGGGTTGAAACAATGAAAATAGCTATGAGTTTGACCACCGATTTTTTTATGGGACCTCCGAGATCTCCTCTTAAATTTCTTACTCCGGAAAATGCGAAAATTATGGCCAAAGACTTAACCGAACTCGGAATATCGATAAACAATGCAGCATTGTTAAAAATGTATTAAACTATTCCTTTTTATATCTGAAACACGTTGAAAATCATTTTTGGCATTTTATTAAAATATTTATAAAATTAATGCATATTTTGTAATCGTATAAAACATAATAAATATATACAACTTTTACAATAGTAAATATATATAGATATATAAGATCGATGATGCACTTAACCTGGGTAAATGACACTTACAATAATATATTTTAATTAATTACATTACAAAAATATGGCATTGAATACCTAATTTATCGATTGATAAATATATAGGACAACTGTAATATTAATTATTACCTACTTTACCAGTTGACGGTTATCATTATATAATAATTCTATACATTACTTGAAATTTCCTATATAATTGCTTTATTATTTTATGAAACAAATATTAGTATATATTTGCAAGCATATATACATTTTTGTTGTTTTTTTTTCAAGGTAATAATAATTATAATCTTATATAATGAAATAGCATCTATGTATTGCATATACAATATTTTGTAAACGAAAACTTGTATTCACTATATTATTACTATAAAATAAAAGATAATTTTAGAAATAATTATTTTATATTCGTAACTTTACTTTTAACTAATTTTATCAAACAAGCATTGAACCAATATTCATGTTTAAAATAATATAATAATTTTGATTAATGTGCCAGAAATTAAAAAATTGTATAATCTTTAAAATAAACTAATATTCTACTAAAGAAAATTATAATTTAAAAAAAATAGATGTTGATATCATAATACGTAAATGATTATCTTTCTTTATATTCAATTAAAATATGAATCATTTTCATTTATAGGCCCGATAATAAAATAAAATATATTATATTATATTATTGTAAAATTAATTTATATGACAAAGACTGCAAATTTCCAAATATATGTCAATTATAATATAAAATTAAAATCTATAAGTTGTTAACCCAATATTTTTAAATTTTGTCTTGATAAATATATGTGAAACTTATTTATATGTAATTTACATATATTATTTGCAATTTGAAAAATAATAGATGTGTTTTTAAATTATTTAAAAACTCTAATTTGAAATATTAATTCTGAACGAGCTACAGTTTCAATAAATGCATAAATGAAATTAATGTATTTACATCGATATACGTTCACGGAATAGGTAAAATAAATATTTTACTAAATATATGCTTTCGGGAAAATTGTGTATAAGGAGAAAATATTTTCTTACTTATTTCTTTATAATAAAAAAATGATGAATTTGTTTATTATAATTATACGTTCATGGGAAAAGATCTTATATTGATTATTTTAAAATTTATATTTTAATACTGTCTTTACAGTTTTGCAACAATTCTTTAATACCATTTTAAACTTCTCATAAATAAATAAAAATTATATAATATCATAATGACGAATGATAATAACTGTACTAGACATTTTAAAACCATTTTTTAATTAAAAATTTTATTTCTAGAAATTGAAACTTACTATTTATTTAATATCGTAGGAGAAATAAAAATTATGATATTCGATATAACATCGTTCGATCGCAAAGTAATTTAAGAATGGTGAGTAACAGTGTAGTTGAAATATGAGTATATTAATGTGGTTTCGTTGTGTCCATAGAATACTAAATTATATTATTATTGAGTTACATTATTGAGTAAAAGACATAAGGTCTCATTCTGTCTTGCAGAAAGGTATAGTTGGTTATTAAAATCATTAAGTGATTGTTAACATAATATAAGGGAAAAGTATTTTTAAGATGCCGGTAATTAATTAACTAAATAGTATGAGTTGCATGACAAATAAAAAATAATATTTTTTATTCAATCAATTACAGAAAATTCATTGTACTTATGAAGGACTCATTGCGCCCGTGTTTACTCCATTAAATAATGATAAGTATGTATGGTTTTTCGCTCAAATTTATTTAAATAATTCTTATACAATAATTATTATGAATTTTATTATTTCAATTTTAGAAATCAAAGTTTAAATTTATCTGTAATTCCTAGTTATGCTAAATTTCTTAAGTCCAAAAATATTAATGGTATTTTAGGTAAGTTTATAATAAATATGAATTTTTTAATTTTTACGTATCGACTGTATATATAAATAAAAATATTTAATATCTATTTCAAATTATTTATACCAAAATATCAGAAGATTAATAATTATATTCATAAATGCCGATTCTTAATACTATTTATTATAATACGCAGGTTGTATTGTTCTATTTATAAAGAAAAACTTAGAATCGTTAATGGCTTATGTATAAAAAAGTTAGTATATAAAAAATAATATAAATGTTCGCTGATCCCATAATTTTGATCGATAGATATTTATATATATATATGGCTCTATGTACTTATTTCATTTTTCCAGCTTAGAGGTCAACTAATTTATATATTTTAAAACTAATAGTCCTACTTATTTATTTATACATGAAAATAAATAAAAACATAAACATACATAATTGTACATTCTAATAAAAATGATCCAAAAACAAATTTAATTAGCTACAGCTTTTATAGTATACTTGGGGTCTACGCACAATATTAGTAGGAGAATTTACGTAATTCTCAACAGATAATCTCATTTCGATAGAATAAAATTTGAAATCTCTGCAATTATACCAACTATTATAATTTCTATTTATTATAATATAATAAAATAATATAATATAATATTATATTAGGGGGAAGGGGAGGTTCATTTATTAATTATCGAAATTTATTAATACACAACTATTGAACACGTGCATTATACTTATAATATGTCTTTTAACGTTATCTTAACTCTTATAAAATAAAATCTTATACATTTATGTACATAAATGTATTAATTGTATTACAAAAATACATTTAATTGTATTACAAAAATGATAAAAAATCAAATGTAGATGAATGTATATATAGATTGATAGATAGATATATTATAAATAAATTGTGTAAAAAAAATAAAATACACTATTTTAAATTGGCTTTGGCATTATAATAGATATAATAAAATACACAAACTCGTCGTACCATAAAAATATCCAAGCAAGTTCTAATATTGTTGTAATCTTGACACATTTCATAATATAGTCGAACTCACATCATAGAATTAATATATAATTGAACTCTGGATTTCTTCGCCATTCCAGTAGGGAAACTGTTTAAGTAAATTGCAATAGAGCTAATGAGATCGATTTAAATAATTCTTTTATCGACAATTAAATGGAATTTAATGCTAGTTAAAACTCTCGACAATCCATCGCCTATCTACAATTTACAATTAGTTCTATTATTCGATACTTTCACCCCTGATGTTGAGATTGTTTTCTTACCCTTTTGAAACTTTAAGAATATAATAGGATATGAAGATAATATAAAGACGAAAATAATTGTTATAAACTGAATTTCGAAGATAATTGAATTTGCAGAATAATATGTAATATTCCTCTTAAATTATAATGAATGGATATAAAGAAATTGAATTTAAAATTACGAAATTAAATTAATATTTAACGTAGAATAAATAAATGATTAATATTGATCACATATGATTTTAGAAACAAATAAATCATTTCAAATAAATAATTGTATATTTTAATGCACAACTAAGACGTCAGTCTTATAATTAAAATATAATTAGGTAGTTGCATATCCGTATGATGTTAAGTTTTTTTTTTTAAGGCGATAAAGTGCTATTTAATACTTGTTCGATTTTAAATGTTTAGTTTATGGCTCAACTACCAATTCAATAGTTCAGTGCATTAGTCTCTCGTCAGGATAACTTCAAAGGAAATAATAAATGATAAGGCTGAACAATATCGTGTATTTAGTAAAACAATGTTTATTAATGTAAATAATTATAACAATATTGCACTGTTGTGTAGAGATAAATAATTCTATTGAAGTGTTACTTGAATTGTGTTCTTGTATTCTTAAATTATTGTAGTTCTATGGATATGACTAAGTATCTTGAAGTTGAAGTAATGCTGATGTTGTAAATATCAGCTGATGTAGTCAGTCAATCATGCTTGTGATGTAGCATGAGAAGATGGTAGTTGAATCAAGTATGTTTGATGTATGAATAACTATACTTGATATGGTGTAAGATGTTTAATGGAGCTTGTTGAATAATCAATTATGTCTTTAATTATTTATGGGGGCAGTAGAAAAACTAGTCACATACAATTGTCATTTATTATAAACCTTAGAAATCTTAAGGATTTCTTGAAAATGTCTGTATTGTTGATCAGTCGATATACTGAAGTCTGGCCTTGACTTGTTGCGTCATTGAGTTGACTATTTAGAGAATGCATGACCACGTGCTCATCACCTGGTGACTATTTCAAGACATGCACGACCACGTGCTAATCACCTGTCGACTGCTTCAGAGGATGCAAAATTGTCCAGGTTTTCTTGTGCGAGATGTGACTAATTTATTTATTAATATAAAAAGATGTACCTTGTAAGGTGCTGACAAAGTCTGTTGATTGCTGTTTAATTAATATTCCCTTTGATTACTATTCCATTGGCTTCACTGTAATCACTATCTAATCTGCCGATTTCTTCTTCTTATGCGCGCGTGTATTCTTAACTATGCTGCCGAAAATATGACCACGTGTCGTCTTCACAGTATACTAAAACACTGAGCGGCAATTATATACTTGAGTGAACACGAAGTGATATTACAATGAGCCTTTTGAATACGCGCACGAAAACCGAAGGCTTGATCGTTCCGTGGCGGCTCTGTTGAAAATACCGACCGTTCCATGGCGGTCCTGGTGAGGGCAGATCGAGACCCGCGTGCCATGGCTTCTACTGGTAGATGATTGAATCGGTTCACTATGGTCGGTCACTGTAGTCGGGTCACGGCAAGATGTTAGCCGCAAGCGCAGTTGAGCGAGGATGGTTCGGCAAGAGAGCCGGTCGAGAGGGCGAGGCGTGCCGCATGCATCCCTTATATAATCACGCGGTGGCTCACTTAGCTGGCAACAAATAATCGTCGTTGTTGCAATAATTCTTACAGGAGGCGCGGAAGGAAAAATCTAGAACCTTCGAGAATGTTCGACGAGAGAAAAATAGGAGTAATATCTTTGTGTGATCTTATAGTATATTGGATTTCATGCCGTAAAACTTGCTCGGACTTGCCGAGTTTTGTTTCTAAAAATTCGCCCGAGTGCGCGTCCCGGTCCGATCGCGCGTGCCTTACGCCGCACAGCGCGTATGACCTACTTTTTCTAAATTCATGGAACTGCATCAATCTCGAACAATACTTAAAACCCAAAATTCTATTCGGCTTCACAGCAAGTAAGACAAATTTTGCTATAGAACATAAAAATAGAGATAAAAGAAAAACAAAATACATACACATTTTATTTGTCTTAACTATCTTAACTATCTTAACTATCTTGACAATCCTAACACACTTACCTCTGTATTTACGGATAGTTTGGAAAATTTTAATAACACAAAATAATGTCGGTAATAAATTTAACTGTAATTTATATTTTATTAACATTTATTAAATAAATACAATTCGTGTAGTTATTTGTAACTTTATTACATTAGTAAAATTATGCAAAGTTTTCTTTGGTAGTACAATAGTTTCAAGAATGACATGTTTTATATAATATAGAAGTAGTGTTTTTCAATTTGTTTTAAATAGCTGAATTTAAAAGTCTTATTATCATTCAGTATATTAATTTTACATGCAAGATATTATAATATATTTTATAAACATCAACTCTGCAAAACTTTACAAACACAAGTTTATAATGTCTAATAATGTCTAAAAAAATATAATCTAATAAAATTACACTTTCTATTTGATCGCATATTAAATAACAATACTATTAATCATCAGACACTTTTCACTTTCTCGCGATATCCATCATTTCAGTCGTAAGTCTCTAAATTGTCTGAAGACTTCACAATCATAATTTCAACTTAATATCTTTATTCTGATAGTTAATGGCACTACTGGAGAAGGTACATCTTTAACCATTGATGAAAGGAAAAAAGTGACTGAAGCTTGGGCTACCATTGTTAAAGAAACTAATCAGTATCTAATGGTCCAAATCGGTGGAGCATCTATAAGAGACGTCAAGGAACTTGTAACAATATTATTTTCAAAATTTATTTAGAATATTTTAGATTAGATCTTATAATGTAAATAATTAGCAAGACAACACGAATAATTAACAAACTTTAAACCTTATATTTTTTTATTTTATGTAAAAATCAGATAAATTTTATTAAATATTATATTAATAATTTTAGGCTGAACATGCCGAAAGCTTAGGTGTTAATTCTATTTTATGTTTGCCCGAATTATATTTCAAACCTAATACCGTAGATGACCTTATTGAATATTTACGACTTATTGGAGAATCTGCTCCAAAAACCCCATTATTATACTATGATTTCCCGAAAGCTTCAATGGTCAACAGTAAGTGCAAAATTTTGAAAATCAATAATATATTAACAACTATAACTTAAACAAAATACGTTATAAACGCAGTTAATGTAGAACAGCTTTTTAAACTGGGTAGCGAAAAAATACCAACTTTTTCTGGAATTAAAACCGATTTAGAACGCGGTTTACAAGCAAGACGAGCTAATAATACCGATTTAAAAATATTTCTTGCTGGTGACATGGTAAATAATATTATTTTCTATATAATAATATTTTTCTTATTTACGCTCAATTAAATATACATTATTTTTTATTTTAGCTGATGATTGGTGGCTGTGCTGCAGAATTCGATTCATATATAATGACAAGTTTAAATTTTATAGCTAAACCTGCTTTTGATTTATTAGAATTTGGTAAAGGTAGTAATAACTTAAATAACGCTCGACAAAATCAGAATTACATTAATAAAATTAATAGTGCAATAACTAGCTACGGTAAATTTCTTTATTTGTAAATATTTAATTATACATTTCTTATTTAATATATAAGCACTACTTATAACAGGTACATGGGTTGAAACAATGAAAATTGCTATGAGCTTAATCACAAACTTATATATGGGGCCACCACGAGCGCCACTTAAATTTCTTACGAAAGAAAGTATTGAAGCAATGGATAAAGACTTAACCAAGATCGGACTTAAGACTAGCAAGACTATGCTACTTAAATGAATTAAATTTCCAATTTTTATACTTTCTCTTATATTTTTTTTAATAAATATTCTAAATAGTTAAACAATTTAAATAATAAAATTTTGTCATAAAAACAATGGTAATCTTAATATATATTTTGTACGAATGCTTTCAATGCTCTAAATACTAAGAGGGCTTCTATTTTACTTCCATCGATTCTAGATTCCTTGATTAATTACTTATTTCAAAATTAAGCACTGCAGTTTTAAAATGTCTAAAATACATTAAATAACTAAATATGTATTCTTGCTTAATTTTATAAAATAATAAATTATTTATTAAATTCTTTTATTGTTTTACATCTACATATTTCAAAGCGAAAAATTTTCTAATAAAAAATCAAATTATCTTAATATATAATTTATTAAATAAACTTTGGAAATTATTATAAAATAAAAATTTCCACAAAAATATGCAACTAATTTTGCTGTTAAAAAGCCAATTTTTTTTTTATTAAAATTATTCTTTTTAATATTACCTGTTAAATATTTGTAAATATTCGCATATGCAGGCCTCGTGATTCTTTTCATTTATGTTACAAAATATGTGGATTCTTTGACAAAAAGCATTATATTTTAAACACTTAATATATTTCATAATAAATTATTTCTTTAGTGAAGAACATAATGATATTTACTTATATGGATACTGTTTCTTTAAGATGAAGTGTAGCTACATTATTAGAGAAAACATCTAAATTTGTTGTTTGAAGAATATTCGTCGTATTAACATCATGATAATACGTAAGAATCTTATATATTTTCCTCGGTTTTACAAATACTATAAGAATTATAATTATAATACAGCATTAAATGCTAATTATATTCCTTGTTAAAGAAATATGAATTTGTAATTATAACCGTGTTACGGATTACAACAGTTTTAAGTGGAATACAAAGTGGGAGAGGTATGAGCGCGCGAAGCATTGTTTGGTAAACATTGGCCAATGGACTCAACGAATGCTTCTAATCGAAAAACTCGAACATACGACTATAATTCGGAGAAATAATAACAAATGAACCCTACAAAGCTATGCCCTATTGACGTCACGACAAATAGCGGCATGGGAATAGCCACCGATGCGCTATCGGCGTAGCCAGTTGGCACCCATGTCTCCATAAGCAACGCACCACGCTCGTTCCTTACTACTTCTTACTAGTTAACAAGCACCCATCACGAGAGGACCGGCAATCTACACTCGCGATTGACGCCCGCATGTAAGTAACGCCGACGCTTGTTCTTACGACTACTAACTACTACAGCGGTTCCAGCCAACTCAAGTAAGATGCGACCAGACGCTCGTTCTTACATCTTACCCTTACACCGCGGTCCCCGCCAGTTCATGTAAGATACGACCAGCCGCTCGTTCTTACATCTCACCTCTACACCGCGGTTTACGCCCACATCGAGCATACGAACGTGCACCAATACCATCACTACATTTGTGCTCACGGACACAAGCAGTGACATCACACGGACGTTCTCCCACCACTTCGTACACTACAGCTCACCTCTTCGCCGGCTGCCAAGACGGCACTAACTTCCTGCCCCTACCACCACGAGTTTTCCACTACACTACTCTACCCAAAGGAAGAAGCGGAATCATGCTCCAGGGTATCAAGAATACACGTACGGACTTATCGCCACCGCTACTACTGAAGAAACACTAATATATTCACTATATCATACACTCATTAAGACATTTATAGATCATTAACTATTCATCATTTATTATATTTAATAAAAGGAAAGATTATAAACATAAAAGGCAGTATTGAATAATTGCATTGCCCCTTCCACTTGCCAGCAAACCTCCACCCACCATCATAAGGACGTTTTTAGTCTAATCCCAGACAAACCGACATAAATAATACACACAAAATGATTTTAATATTTATATTAATCACTACAATATAATTATAAATTTTATGATTTATATACATTGTATATATATGTTTAAACATTACATACCGAAACTTATAAAAAATACAAAATAATTAGGCAAATAATAAACTACACTCAATTTTATAACTTTACATTTGGCTCCTTAAATTATGTTTTATATTATAAATGAATATAGTGTTTTCCCGAAAATTGTTCATTACTATAATCTATTCCATTTTCTTAGAATGAACGCTAATTATAAATATATAACAATATAATTATATTATATTATATTACATTACTTATAATATATTATAATAATTATATAACAATTATATTAATTCCTTTAATGTTGCCAATTGCCCATAAAAATTAATAATATATACTTATTTTATAGTTAATTTATAAACATTTTATTTCATTATACTTTTGTATTATTAACTAAGAAAGAATGTAGGAAAAATTTAATTCACCATTAATTCATTTGGACATACAGTACTTAATTAAAACGAGTATTTAAAAGCAAATCATTTTTCAAAATTACTTTTGGTCTACTAATTTCTATTTTATTTTATGCTTAATTATTTCATGTTTGAAAATTGTGTTAAAAAATGTGTTCATAAAGCAAAGAGATTGATAGAGCTTGTAATACAAAATGAGTTATAATTTACAACATTTGTATATAAATAAATATTTATTTTGTATATAATCGAATAAACAAAAAATACTTTATGAATAAGTGATATTTTTTCATTAATAATTAATAAATTCTATAAAAAAATATCAAATATATTACACATGATTTTTTGTGTAACCTAACCTTTAAAAAGGTTAGTTATAATTTTGCAGATTTTATATAATTTGAAAATGTTAACTAGAAATATTTTTGGTTTATCACCCTATTTGAAAGGTTCAACTTATTTACACCAATCAATTATCACAGATTTTTTGCATCAAGCTACAATTTTTTCAGGTAATATGTGATTCATCGATAATTTAAATTATTTAACATGAAACATTTAAATTTTTTTTACTTCTATTTTATTATATAACTATCTATTTAATTTCTATCTTAAGCTAAAAAAAGTCAACCCTTATCTCATTTGATCAAAAATGAAAAATTGTTTTATAATCATGTTCTTACCAACAAAGACCAATCAACGTTCTATAACTCTGTAAATAATAAAGAAATAAGTGATTTGGATGTTTTGAATACAGTAACAGTTTTATCAAAATTGTATAACAGAATAAAATCTTCTAAAGAAGACGATAAAAATGCTATTGTGAATGTAATTTTTAATCTAATAAAAATGGATGGACATAAACTAGAAATACCAATAATTATAAATGTTTTGCAAACATTAATTGACTACAAAATGCCATATATTCAAAAACTTATTGAAATTATTTTAAAATTCATTAAAAACCAGTTAATTAATTTAACTCCAAAGGATTATCAAGAATTAACTGACATAAATTCTAAAATACAATCAAATACGCTTCGACAATTTGTGCAAAAAGATTTATTACAAAAATTTAATTTAAAAATATCAATGGATTTAGATAGAAATAATCTAGATTTCGTAATTAGTGCTTTTATGAACCATAAAAATGATTTAGAAAAACTCAAATTGGCTTTAGAAGCAGTAAAAAACTGTAACCTTCAAAATGCATCGCTTAATACTATTTTGAATTTAATAACTGCTATGAGCTATGTGCCACATTTTCCAAAAAATTACTGTAGTATTTTGAATAAATTACAAATATATTTAATTGAAAATATTCATCAAATCAAAACCAATGATATTTTATTTTTATTACATAACATGGTTTTTGCAGCAGACAATAATAAGTATGTATGTAAACTTTAACAGTTAGTATTTAAATTCCATTAAATAACAATAATGATTATAATTTATAGAAATGAAGAATTTTATAATGAAGCACTTTTCAATAAATGTGCTGAAGTAATCACCTCACGTGATGTCACTTCTTCTATTGCTGCAGCATGTTTAAATTCCTTTATTCGAATAAGGCATATGCAAAAACATCTACTAGACTACACTTGTTCAAGATATTTTATAGAAAAAAACAATGGAGTACGTTTCAAAGAAGAATTTGTATTATCATCCTTAATAAATGCATATGCACAATACAACTTGAAAGATGTGTATTTGCAAAAATTGATAAAGAATTATGAAGAAATAATAAAACTAATTAAATCGAAAAAGATCCTAGATAGTGCTTTAAATTTTGCAGTCTTTGAATATTATAATGCCTCCCTATTGACGAATATATTTAGCAATGAGGAATATTACTTTAATGTAGCGGGTCGCAAATTTCTTAACTTATGGCAGAAATTAAAGACTACACCAAATTATAATGGACCAGAACCATCAGAAAAATGTATCAAAAAATTTACTATTTGGCATACAAAATATAATTTTGAATTATTTCCATATCTTGAGAAAGGTTTAGGTGGATCTATATATATTAAAAAAAATCTTAAAACCAAATTATATCATCAAATTGGTGAGAAACTGTTTGTTAAAGTAATTTGAACAGTACATACATTGGCAATTACATAATTCAATATCATTATGAAATTAAAATTATTTTATAGAATACATAACGATGTTTAGAAATGGAGGATATCCAATTGCTATTAACAACATTGAGGATAAAAATATAGAATATATAGAGGATTTACAAGTCCCCAATAATTCAAAAATGTATGTTTTCTTATATATACATTCTACACTTTTTTATATTTATTAATAATAATTTTATATAAATATATTTTTTAGAGTTCTTATATTTGAAATACCAAATTACTGGTATTTTCAAAATTCAAATATTATTATAGGCAAATATTCAATGTATATAGATGTTATTAAGTCTCTATCTGTTGAAGTAATACCGATAAATTTAAATAATTGGAAAACACTTACAGAAAATGAAAAAATACCATATTTAATGAAAGAAATACATTCTAAATTAATGTGTGACAATAATTTCATGTTATCTACTTGACTTGTAAATAATTAGTAATAAATTTGTAAATAAACTACTACATTATACTTTATAAAGGCATCGTTTTTATAAATCATTAAATATAACAATAAACTAACAATTTTCTACATTAATGGAATATAATAAAATACAAGTAAAATATGTTTGAAAGTGAAAAATACAATACAGAATTATAAAAGTATGTACATATATAGATTTAAAATATAAATATTAAAAATTTAATTCATTTATAATAATATAAATTTAAAATATAAAAATTAACAAATTTTTAAATTAGTTACTTTTTTTTGCTGATTTTACAAAGCTCATATTCTGAGAAATAAGTTTTCTTTTAATATTGCATGATAAATTTTTTCAAATTTTTCATATTTTACATTTAATTTTTACTTCTATACAGATTAATTATAAAATAAAGAAATAAAAACATGTATTGAGTAATTATTAGAGTTATTTAAATCCAGATGATAATTGTCAATCAACTTGAGGAGAAAGCTTATACATGGGCTAAAACTATTTAATAAAGATTGAACTTTCTCCAAATAGGAAGATTTGATTTTAAATGAATTATACAATATAAAATTTTGTACAAGCTCAGTCTTATTGTGCACACCCATTATATTTATATTGACAAGAGATTATATGTAGCTGTAGAACAATAATCCTGTGGCAACTTCGAAAACCTTGTTAACTAATAATCTAAATGTCAAACATAACACTAAACTACTTAAAATATCATTCTAACTAGATAAATCTTCGACTTTCATAGTTGAATGCATCCACAAGCACAATTGAATAAAATATAGTAGCTTTGTGATTCAATTATAATAAATTAATAAATAATAGTAAATTCTACCCCTATTGTTTATTATATGATTTAAGTTATTATATGTTTTACTCAGATTATAAGATTGTTGCAAATATATATAAATAAATTATCTTTTAGACATCTCTTTTTAAAATTATATTTGTAATAAGTATTATAGCTCATTATGCTATCGTTCAAGGAACAATTCCAAATTATATCTATATTTCATAAATTATTGAAAAACTTAACAATACATATCCCAAGACTCAAAATTATTTCATTCTGTTACACAGGCGAAGTACATGAAGAAAGAAAATAGATCAGGACATTTATTTAATAAATATTGTTAAAAAATTAATTTATCTAAAGAAATTTAATATGCCATACTGCATTACTTTAAGATGGTTTTCAAAATTCTAAGCAAAACTATCTAAAATTTTCAATATTTATAAATTTACTATGTTTCAATTGATTTAATGTAGTAATTCCTAACCACTTTAACTAAATTGTAATGAATGACAATTTTATTTTATTACAAATATTTAATAATTTTATTAAATTGAAGTTCCAAAATATGAATAAAAAAAATAACAGTTATGCAAATTTAATTTTTATATGAAAAATATTGTTTTTGTTTATAACAACTAAAATTTATAGCTTCAAAATATAAGACTATATTTTTATATTTCATATCAAAAAATTTAAAAATTTTATAATCTATAACAAACTATAAATATGAACTAACAATACTATATAAAGAATTCAATGAATATTTATCTAACTCATTATTATTTAAATAATATATCAATTATAAGTTCATAGATCCTATTCATTTTTTAATTTTATTATTTCAAAATACAAATAATTGTTAATATAATATTGTTATATTATTAATAATCACTATTTTCAAGTTTTTTAAAGCTTATAAGTTGTTAAAATAATGAAATGTGAACAATTAATATTATATAAATAAATTTGTCTTAATTATATCAAACACTTAAATTTAATGAAATCTTTAATCATTATATTTAGTTTTAATAGTAATACATATTAACAATAAATTTTTCACATCTTTATGATTCAAAAATTACTATAAACTTCTTTTTGCAAAAATTAATGATATAGAATAAATTATGTATGCTTCAATTTTATAGGAACCGTTCAATGTATTAAAAATTAATATTTTGAAAAATCATCTTCATAAATCAAAATTTATTTACAAATAATATGAAAAAAATGCTAACAAGAAAAACAATTATATTATTTTTACCTACTTTACTTTTCCATATAATAGACCCTTATTGTAGGTTAGCTACAGTTGTAATAAATACAAAAGACGTTGAGAATTTTGTTTTCAATATAAGAGAAGTAAATTTACTGTTGAAGTTAATGATATTATTCACTCAACACAGAATAAATAACAGGATTAATTATCAAAAATAAGGAGTCTTTATTATACTAATTGTTAGCTATTATAAATATTGTATGATTGTTAATATGCATAATGACTTAATACGTATAGCGTAAACACAAACAAATATTCATAGGTAGTACTTCTATATATATATATATATATATTTTTTAATAATTATACATGAACATTTAAGATTAATTGAATAAAAAAACTAGTTTCAAAATAAATATTAGTATATATAAATATTGTAAAATTATTTAAATTAAAATTAAAAAATACTAACCTACTTCAATTGCAAATAAATAGGATATGTTTATTTCTTTACAAAGAATAAATAAACTCTAAAGACTTATATAGCTTCATAAAATTTTATGGAATGTTACTGAAAAAGTTTATACGAAAATTCTAAGGACTTATATTTTTAATTATAGTATAAATAATGATTACAGATTATTTATCAACTTTATAAGAAGGGATGTTTAAATTAGATGAATTATGTGAAATAAATGAACCTATTGTACTTAAAAATGTATTGTGTAATGCACAAGAATTTAGTAATTGGAAATTACTTAATTGGAGCTTAGAAGATCTTGCTAATAAATCTGGAGATCTTAAATTACCATTCAGAGTTGGAAAAAATATCAAAACAATTGTAAATATTTGAATTTAATGGTAATTGTAATTTTATATATCTAAATTTTCTTTGCATCTTTTTTTTTAGAATCCACAATGGGAAGTTGAAACACCAATTGAATATAAGACTATAAAAGAATTTTTAAAAGATGTAACAGAACCTAATGATTTATCTAAATGGTATTATTTTGATTATAAACATATAAATCAATGGTTTCAAGAAAAGCCTGAGATTTTGAAATCCTTTGATTGGCAACAGTTTAAATTAGAATTAGATGGAACAGATTCAACAATATGGATTGGTAGTAAAGGTGCACATACTAATTGCCATCGAGATACTTATGGATGTAATTTGATTGCTCAAATACATGGAAGGTATATTTAATAATTAAATTGTTGTATACATTTATAAAATATATAAGAGTTGATAATTTTATAAAGATAGTAATTATATTTATTTTTAGAAAATTATGGCTGTTATTCTCCCCTGAATGTAGTAACTCTATGCAGCCTACTCGCATTCCATATGAAGAATCAACGATTTACAGTAAATATAATTTTTTTACTCCAAATGAATTAGTAATTGAAGCAATTAGCAACTTATCTGGTAGTGTAAAAATGATAATATTAGAACCAAAAGATGTATTGTTTGTTCCAAAAGGATGGTGGCATTATGTTGAATCTTTAGACACTAGTTTGAGTGTCAATGTATGGCTACCTGTAAAAGAAGATTGCATTACTAGATTACAAGAAACTCTTGTGCATCTAGTGATGAATACAATGGGTAATAGCATTCCCAAGACAATTAATCAATTAGAATCGAATTTTTCAGAATCTATACAATTTGTAAGTATACAAAAATTATACATTTGTATTATTAAATGAAATCTTGAAAATTTGAATATTTTATACGATTTCATTTTCTAATTCAGTCACTTTCACTTATAAATAAATACAATAATGCATATCTATAGTAAATAATGAATGGTATAAACATAAAAATATAAAAATTACCAGCAATACGCTTGCAATACAGGAAATTACTTTTAAATATATTGTAAAATAAAAATTCTAATGAATTTATTTTTTATTGTAAATAAATTTATCAATTTTATAAATATCATTAAATAAAATTAATATAATAACCTCAATAACAAGTAATCGTATTAAATATGATAATAAACACTGAATTAAAAATGTACCTTTTAGTAGAAATCTACAATATTTCTCGAAAACAGTTAATTTAATTATTATTTTTAATAATTGTTTACTATTTCCATAAAATTATATGTTTTTCAATAAATTATCATGACTTATGTAAAAAATATTTTTATTTTATATCACGAGTAAAAAAAACTATGAAATAATGCACACATTTATTGCACTTACCTAATTTATGTAATTAAATTTAATTTTTTTAGGTAAAAACATCTCTTAAGGAATGTCAAGAATTGAAAAAATGTACTCTAGAATCCTTACAAAAACGACAAAAATTAAACTTAATAACTACAGATTTTTTAGACTATTTAAAAATAAAATATGCTAATTACATCAAAATACTTCCTGATTTAACTTCTGAAAATATAAATGACTTCATTACAAAGAACAATATCACAAAGATAGATGATATTAATTTAAAAGATAATATTGTTGAAACTAATGATTTCTCAAATTCTTTCATTTCTGAAGCAGTCATTGATGCCTTCTGTCATCCTTCAGTTATATTAAAAATATCACAAATTTTAGTAAAAAAATTGGAAAACAATCTTTAATAAAAAGTGACAATTACGTTTATACTTAAAAGTATGGAGCTTTAAGATCTTTTTAATTATATATTTTGTATATATAATTATATCAGTAGAGATTTAATATTATTGTTCTAAATAATATAAATTTATTATATCAATTAATATTTTATTATTGTGGTTTTATTTATCATAATGTAGTATGTATTTATTTATTATCATAGTTTGCTAAATTTAAACTAATTCTTACTCATTGTATAATATGTACATCTTACATTTATACAAATTATGATTGATTATGCTTCTTTTTTATATTAATAGATTACATTTACAGATTTTAACTTAACAATTAATAATTTGTGAACCTTCAAAGTAATTTGAAAAAGTTTTAATTACTCTGTTAATAAATACAATAATATATTCTACACTATTTATTCAAGCAATACTCATGTACATTGATTACATACAATCACAATCTCATCATTTATTTTTTTCTAAATTTTGTCTGATATTTTATAAAGTAAAATCACTTTGATTTTGGTAATACAATTGTCGATTCATGGAAACATATATTATATGATTTCATAAAATTAGAATATATCTTTATATTGAAAGACATATATATTTAGATTTTATACTGTTCCCAAGTGTTTAATAACTTTATGCTTGTTTTTCGAAATTGTGAGTAAAATTAGAATGTAAAAAATTAAATAAATAAATTTGAAGATATAATTACTACTAATATATATTTATATACTAATATATATTTTCATTTGTATAATGCTTCTGCAATTTTTCTCATAAGCTTTGAGATAATAAAACTATGCCTAAACGTTTCAACTTTGCTCTATTAATTATTCTTCGTAACCGAGTGACCATAAGTGATGCTCCATATTCACTTTAAAATATTGAATCATAGAATTCTAAATATAAAATAATATATATGTGTAGTTAATATGGCACCATTTCTACTATTTCAAATACAGTGATAAATAAATAAGATTTTATTTTATTTAAATCGAAAATTTAGTTAAATAAAATAATACCAAATATACATTATAAACAAAGCAGAAACATTTTATATAATAAACATTTCGTCATATTGACCAACATTTGTATTACTCTTTTATTTATTAGACTACACAATAATTTTTCATGAATTTTTATATTGTTACGCCTCTCATATTATTCTATTATACTAATGAAAATAATTCTATTATTCGTTATTTATCTTCACTTGATCTTATGAAAATACAATCAATAATATATTAGCATATTAAAATGTATTTTCTCATTGTTTATTATATCTAACATAGATTGAAATAATACAAATATTGCATTAAGTTGTAAATAATTTAATTTCAAAATTGAATATTCTATTTCTCAATATATAATATCTATAATTAATATAAGGACCAAGTAAAAATATTTAAATAAATGTATCTTTCTTCCTCATATATCATCGATGTCTTTTGTACCATAAACCTTAAATTATAAAAAAAAATTAATTATGTCAAAAATGTAACCATAATCAAAGAAAAATAATTGACATTATATTTAATATTATATTTGATATACAAACAGAAAATCGGAATTTTGTCAATATACGTACATCAAATTAAATAAAATAGAACTTTTGCATGCCTACAATGCAACTTAAATAGTAAAATTGTATAAAAATTACTTTGTATATAAATTTCTAGAAATACAGAAAGAGAATATATATTTTATATCTAATTAAAAAAATAATTATTTTTGTAAAGATCAGGGTATTGAGCATAAAAAGCAAACCATAGAATAATATACGTTTTGTAAAGTAATATAGTAATAATAAAATATACAATTATAACTTCAATAGAAAATAATACTAAAAACAATGTAAACACTATTTCAATGCATTTCATCAATCTTGTATTCTTGTGGATAATTAATCAATAATTATTTTTATCAGAAAAAAATTATACACTTTAGATTAGTAAACATAGAATAATTATAAAAATTAAAAAAATTTACGCATATACGATATAACACCATATATTAAAAGAAACTTCATACATTTTTAGTAAAACAATACTTTTTTCGAAATATATACAAATTCATGTAAGCACACTTTACAAACTAATAAATATTTTATTTTCTTATTGCTTACTTTTTTAATAATAAAAAACGAAACCAATTTTTAATATATATAGAAACAATTAGAATAAAAATCATAAAATATTATATATTTGCGAAAAATTATAAAATCATAAAATATAAAAATTAAATTTAACTAAACGATCAATTATTATATTATGAATAAAAATGATTGCGATACATTTACATGAGACACTTAACGATATCTATACTTGGAGTATGAAAAATTCAATTTTTATATTATTTACTCATTATTTACACTTATAATCAAGATTAACAACTTTAATTTCTAGAATTTAATAATATATATGAAAGACAAGGAGAAAACATTTTAAATTATTGATGATATCAAGAAAAATATTTTACTATATTATTCATTTTATTTTATTTCATTTTATTCACTAAAAAATTACTTGCTATTTAAATAAATTGAATTAAAAAAAACTATTACTAAAGATAATATTTTAAATGATTAATTTAAATTTAAAATTTAAAGTAAATTTGAAATATTTATAAATTTTGTTTAAACTGTAAACATTATATTCATAAATATTATTATAAATTCAATTACTCATTTAAAATATGTTTATTAATTAAATACTTTTCATAAATAGATTCAATTTTTATCATAAATAATAATTTTTTCACTTTATTTTAAACATAGAACTGTAATTAACATAACTTCTATAATTAGTATTATATTTGTACCAAAGGTGAAAGACGAATAAATAAACGAAAATATTAAGAAAAAATATTAAAGCTTATTAAATAATTTTATAATCTATATTTAATAATTTGTAGTTTATCGACTATTATTGATTTTTTTTTTTTCGACGAACATTCACATTCGCAGATTTTTAGAACAATGCCATAAAGAATAATTAAATAGCAAAAGTAGAATGTAAAATGCGCATGCGTATTGTAGAGGCCACCATGACAGTAAAAAATGAAAATATTTTCGTTTTTTATTATGTTACAAATAAATAGTGTCACATTTACTATATGATTCATATTGATATAACTGTACAAATAATAATTATACAATAAATCAAACAAAATTTTTGGAGTTCTGAAATTTCAACACCTAGTTTTATTATAAATTAAGAAAATACATAAATAAATATCATAATTAATTTCCTGAATTTTACGATGCAGATAAAATCTATCGTTATAATTAAACATTTGAAATAAAATGTATTAGTTTAAGGGAACCTCAATTTTTGAAAATAACTTATCAAAGACGTTAAATATTTTGTTACTGAATTTATAAGAATTGCTCGAAATAAAAAATGGGTCTTTTAACAATATTGAAGAAGCTTAAACGAAAAGAAAAGGAAATGAGAATTTTAATGTTGTACGTATTTTTTTTATTTAATGATAAAAACAATAATAATGTATAATACATTATTCTTGTAATTTTCACATAGGATTTAACACTATTATAATATTTAATGACATTTATTGAGAATTAATTTATATTAATATTTTCAGAGGTTTAGACAATGCTGGAAAAACAACAATAGTGAAAAGATTAATTGGTGATCCTATTGATACCATATCTCCAACTTTAGGTTTTAACATAAAAACGTTAGATCATAATGGGTATAAACTTAATGTATGGGACGTTGGAGGACAAAAATCATTGCGTACATATTGGCGAAATTACTTTGAAAGCACAGATGGATTAATATGGGTAGTGGATAGTGCGGATCGGAGACGTTTAGAAGATTGTAAAGAAGAAATGCATAAATTGTTACAGGAAGAACGATTGGAAGGAGCTACTTTATTAATTTTCGCGAATAAGCAAGATTTGCCGGGAGCAGTTCCAACCAAAGATATTGCAACTATTTTAGATTTAGAAAGTATTAAAACACATCATTGGAAAATTTATAAAGCTTCAGCCATTACTGCTGAGAATCTGTTAGAAGGTATTAATTGGATAACAAATGATATTTCGAAACGAATTTTTTACAAAAATTGATCAATCTATTCTTTAGTAATAAGACTGAACAGTGAATATTTAATTTTTCTTTAAATTTTAGAATGTCCTTAAAGTAAAACAATATTTTTATAAAGTGCCGAAGTATTTTAATAATTCCCATAATAAATATATTTTATTTACAATTAAAATTTTTACACGATTAAACTCGATAATAAATTATCTTCATCAATTTCATTATGCTCGACCTAAAAATTAATTTCAATTTATTACATTATTATAAATTATGTAATTACAAATGTATGACTCTACCTTCTTCTTGCCTTTTCTCTTGGAAATCTTTTTCTTTAGTCTTAATTTTCTTCCTTTCTTTGGTCTTTTACCTCTCTTTCCTTTCGTTCCTCTTTTTCCTTTTCTTCCTTTCTTTCTTTTTGATTTCTTTTTCTTTTTCTTTGTATTTGTTTCTGTTTTATCTGTAGCAGCTACAGATATTGTATCTGGTAATTTTGTATTTGGAAAAAAGAATTTATACGATATCTTTAGTTCTTCTTGGTTTATTGTATGTTTGGTTACTAAAAATTGATTCATAATTTCTTTTGCTAGATTATCAGATATTCTTATTTTGGCGTCTCTTAATATCTTCATAAAGTCCTCTAAAAATTGTTATAAAATAATGAGATATATGTAAATTATATTTATTTGAACTTAATTCACATAAAAACCTTTGGATATTATAGAATCTTCTAATGATAAAATAAAAATACCAAAATTTTTTCTATCTTTCTTTTTTTTACAACTCATAGCTTCGTGATTTGCTGCCTTTAAAAATAGTTCTTTTAAATTTGGACCTTTTATTTTATAGTTTTCCAAAATTCCACCAATTTTAATGTTAAGGTCTGGTTTTATTTCTTTTAAACCTGTTAATGTTGAAAGAGTATCTTTTGTCACCCATAAGTCTTCAAAATTAAGTAACAGTAATGGACAATAAATAAAATCATTTGAAATGAGCATTTGCAAAAATTCTGAAACTCCCTGTGATCCTAATGGATTTTTACTCAATTCAAGTTCTTCTAAGCATCTATTAGCTAATAAAGCATTTGCTATTTTTAATCCTTCGACACTGGTTAAGCGATTTGCTATAAGAATTAATGTTCATATTCTTATTTCTACAAATATCTTAATTATTTATAAATATAAATCATATATTTATATAAAAAAGTTTCTTTAATTATTTAACATCCTAATTTTATAAATACTATTTATTGTTTGAAGTTATTTTATTTTAGATAAATCTACATTCATTGATTAATCTAATATTATATGAAGTATTGTAAAACGATTGAATGAACTTATTTCAAGTACCTGTAAGGTTTAGTCTTTTAATATATTTAGTATTAGCTACTAAATAACCAATATAAGGAAAGCTATCGTTGCCAATTGAATTCCATGATAAATCAATATCTGTTGTTGTTAAATTTTCAGCTAAGCCTTTATATATGGCTTCAGAAGCTATTTTAGTATGTAAACTATTCCAACTAAGATTCACAGATATAAGAGACTGAGTGAATGAAAACAATTTTTTATTGTTAGAAATATTAAGATTTTGCAGTAAACTGTTGACTGACACTGCCTTTACAATATAATATAAACCTTTGCTTCCAAGTTCACAACCACTTAAATTAAGATCTCTCAAATTTGGTGAATATTTTATGCCTTCTTTAAGTTTCACTGCACCACTTTCACCAATTTTACAAGCTGTCAGATTTAACGAACATAACGTAGTATTTTGAAACAGAAGTTTACTTAAATGGTAACATGCACTTGCTGTTAAACAATTAAACTATGTAGAAACATATATTACATTATATTAAGAAACATATTGAAAACTAAAATGTATATAGATTATGATCATACTTGTAAATCCAAATTTTTTACTGTCGTATTTTTAAGTAAAGCTTCCACTAAAGGTTGAATGATTTTTGGATCTATACAATAATGTTTTAAACTTACTGTGTCACTTTTTAACTGCTGTCTTAAACAAGATATTGGTATTAGATTAAGTGATTTAACTAAATCAAAAAATAATTCAACTCCATCAGATTTATAAACTCGTGGATTTGGATATAGTATCCAAAATGCTGACTTTAAACCCGAATCTTTTGAAACAGGGTAAAATTTGTGTAAATTTGATAACTTTATTTCTACATTTCTTAAAATACTTTCTTTTATATCAGAAGTCAGAACATTTTCGTCATTTTTTGTTTTGGGTGATACAAATGTCTCGGATTGACCGGATGAAATAGATAATATCGTTTTTTCATCATCTGTCTAACAATATTAATTAGAAAAATATAAAGGAAGGAAGCTTTATTCGTTGATGTACCCACTTCATTAAACCTTCTTGAACCAAATGAATCGGAACTTTTAATATCACTGTCGGACCATTTGTCATGATCTTCCCATTCAGATTTATTTAACTCGTCAATAAAATGTGATTCCTTTTTAGACAATATATTAATAAAAATAATATCATTTATTTATTACATTCATAAAAGATTTTCATTTCATAAAGTATATTGTATTTTTCTTTGCGTAAGCAACATTTTGTGTATTATTATGTTAAAAATGTATTTGTATTTATACTTACTTGAGCTATCTCCATAATTTTATTTTATATTATCAAATGTTGTGTTTTCATAACTTTGTTCGAATTTTACGTTAATAGTAACCGTCGTTTAATAAATTATCTTTGAATCATATTATGTAGATGCGTAAATGTATATACATATATAAATATACATCGGTATGTATAAATATAAATATAAAAATCACGATAAATTATGCATTAGAATAATTTTTGCCTATAATTTAAAATTCACGAAATTTTTTATTGATCGTTATGAAGTTATCTGCAAATAAATAGTTTTATTTTCATTTATATTTTTATGCTTATAAACATTTATCTCTAAAAAACATTAAAATATATTAATAAATAACGTCTGCATATATAATGTGATAAATAATGTTAATTATGTTAAAATATAATAAAATTAAAACAATTACAAATGACTATACAAATTTATTTAATTAGCTTAGAAGTTAGATGTATATGTTAACAAAAATTTTTTTAATCAATTAGTAATAATTATATTTTATAATTAGTAATGTATCATAATTTTACATTATAAATTCATTAACTTAGTATCAAGTATATAAGTAACGTTTTTATATATTTCACAATATTTAACAAAATGAAATATACTTACAAATGCACATATTAATTTAGAAAATCTTATACATCATTTATGAGCTTTCCTTTAAGGTCGGCAAATTGTTATTTTTTTTTAATTTAAGTTATTCCAAACATTCTATGCAGTAAAAACTATTACATGTTCAAGTGTCATTTACTTTTATTTTCATTGTATATAATATAAAATCATGCACACATTTTATTGAGTATTTATAAATTTTATATTTATTATTTTATCACTTCAGAAGGAGCTATATTATCCTAAGGTTCTTAAAATCGGCTTTATTCAGTTTGAAAAATGCCGAAGCAATTATTTTAATCGCTCTAAAATAATGTTGTGCATAAGAAATTGTGGTAAATTAGAGTGTTAAAAAATACAACTATAAAATTTTATTTATAAATTTATATTAATTAATGAGAATTTTATATTTTAAAATATTTTCAATAAAAATTTCAAAAAATTACAGGAAAAAAATTCTCCTTAAAAACAAGTTTCATTAGGGTACTAAATAAGTAAAAAAGCAACCATCACGTGTGATTTTATATTCAATAGTTTTATTCGGATTATTATAAACATTCATGAAAGAATATCTATATATATATATATATATATATATATATATATATATATATATATATATATATATACACTAATTATAAACAAAAAAAAAAATATATATATATATATATATATATATATATATATATATATATATATATATATATATATATATACAGTAAAACATATAATTAATTACTTTTGAAATTTTCAATAAAATTACAATATTCAAAATATATTTTTAAAAATATAAAAATTAAAATATCAATTTAGTAATACTTCGGATTATGAAATATATTATAACCCTAATTTTAAAGTTTTGATAATTATAATCGCAACAAATTTCAACAAAAAAATAACAATGTTAATTTTTATTTCACTAGATATAATTCCAAATACGAAATCTATAGTCTTATATTAATAAATTAAATTTAATTTTAAATTGAAAATTCAAAAATTTATGATCTTTGAATAATGCATATAAAAGCCATTAAAATGTTTAAAAATTTTAAAATAATTTATAAAAATCTTATTAATTATCGTTCATATAATCTTAGAAATATATAAATCTTAAACATAAGATTGCATTATAAAATGAATTTTAAATTAACATTAAAAGTATCTTTATATATATATAATTATAGAAATGTATCATTTTTTACCAGTACTAATCTAGTGTTGATAAACACGAGACTTTATTAATAAAATATAAAATGAAAAAAAAAATAAAATAAGAAACCGTAGTATTTTCAAATTGCTTTACAATATTAATATTTACAATTAAACAATTATATTATCAAAAAATAAAATCACGATAAAATTAATTTATAAAATCAAGTTCAATATATCCATACAATCTGCTTCATTTTAATAAATTACAAATATGAAGGAAAGATATCTACAAATTTAGTTATTCTTTTCTTTATAATTGTATTTACTAAATAAAACCAAATCGTATTTTGTCAATTCATAATGAAATATATATATATTTATAAGATATATTTCTGCATCAAAAATATGTTTATAAGAAAGACTCATGTATCAGAGCTACTAAGATGACACTCGTGCATCTTCATTTCCATTTGTTGTTTTAAATATATTTTCAAACAATTTGCAAAACATTGGTGGCTAATTCGCCCATCAAGATGACATAAGACGCAACTATCATTATTGTTTGATCCCACCCTTTTCGATCTTAAAGGAAAAATAAATGTTTCTAGCTGACTCACGTATTGGCGTAAGTCATTCGACCAACTTCCATTCCTGAACCTTATTATATGCGCGATATGGGTACATTTTTGTTCCCAAGACGGTGCTCAATCACCAATGGTGATCGAAGAAATTGGATTTACAATTAAACTTAATTAATTAGGTAGATGTCGAACTTCCTCCCTGTAATCTTATTATCATCATATTGGGATAGAGAAAAATATTATTGTATTTCATTTACATAAAGATAGTAAATTAGGTGCAATATCTATTAGAAAGGAATTTTTTCTACAATGAAGCAACAAATCAAATATCCTTTACTTCAGCAATATTATAAATTTTAAAAATTTATAAATCAGAATATTAACTTGTACACTGAAACTGGATAGTAATTTGTACACGATTTTATATATCATATATATTAATAAATATTTATAATCCTTAACAAAAATAATTAATATTATTGTATTGTTTTTATATTGTTTTATAAAGTAATAAATAGTTAAATAAATACTTTACATTACTTTGCATGGCACATCGGCATCACTAACAGAAAATTGCTGCAAAATATTATACGAAAATAGTGAAATTAAAATTTTAGTAATTTGTAAATTCAAATGAATTAATTTTAATTTTGTAATTAATTCTTTTAAGCAATTAACTTCTCATGAAGTTTCAATAAAAATGAATGAAGACAAGAAAAATTATTAACTTCTGAAATCCTTTTAGCGAAATATTTTACGTAATTGCAGAATATTTAAAGGCTCAAGCATATTATTAATAATAACTGGATAAAAAAAAAATTTTATTTTTAATTTATAATTCCAATTTAAAATAAGTTAATTTATATTTCTATATCTAAAGTTATTTTTGTTCTTTGCAGCTATAGAAGTTTAAAACTCAAATAGCGAAAACAATGGATTTGAAAATGTAAAAACATTTTATAAATAATAATACTATTAATATAAAGACAAATTTAATTAAATTTTGTGTAATTTTTTTTATATTATTTAACAAAAATGAAGTATAATACAGTAATTCTTATCAACATTAAACTCCTTTTATTCAATTACTTTAATTACTAGAATAATAATAATTAAAATAAATAATAATAATATTATGAAAAAGTATTGCTAAGTAGAATAAATTAGTAATTTTTTTAACGGAAGACTACGCTAAAAAATTAAAAGATAAATTATGCTTTATATTTGTATAATACTAGATTAGCGTAGGTTAAAATTATGAAACAGGATTGATTTGAAATATCATTCTGATAATAATTGGCACTCCATTATGTGATTGATATATCATATAATTTCTCTTATTTTTCATTGCTTCATTTGTCACAAAAACTAAACAATGTACAACAGCATTGAAAATATCATAAATTAACAAACTTATCTTCGTTATATAAATAATATAACATTATAACTATGAAAGCTTTGCTTATCATTTATTAAAATTATCAAAATAAGCAATTTCCTCGAACGACAATTGCGATTCGAATGAAAAAACATTGGTTATTCTCGTAAAATATAGAAAATAAAAGAAAATTTATTTTTAATCATAAGTCTTAATCGATAGAATTTTAGCCGATTTTAATCATAAATACTCGATTTTCTTATCGCGACTCTCATTGAATCTGAAAGCCATGGATTCAATTAAGTATCGATTAATAGTAGAATAATCGTCTCGCTCGACATAACTTTTCCTTTTTACCACCCTAGGTCTATGGATCCCGGAAGGCACGTTTTCTTAGCGTTGCAATTCCTCGTCGATTCGAATGCATCGAGTGTCGTCGAGATATGTCCTTCTCTTCCTTCTTTCGCGTCAAGCCCAACTTCATGTCAGCCTCTCCCCACCTTTAAGCTAGTGATCGGAACTGTGAGAACGAAAAGCGGCCAGAAACGAGATGCGTCGGGTGGTCTTTATTGAAATGCCCCCGGTGTCCTTGTGATATCGGCGGACTTTTAACAAGTAGAATGCAGAAGCGGGCGTGGGACGAGTAAGGCCTATTCGTCCTATTCGTCGATTATCAGCTCGCAGAAAGCAAAAAAGTCCTCGTTCTCGGGGAACGACGGGGAAAAACGAGGAAGTTGGCTGATAATAATGCAATGGCCAATTGTATTGGCGTGGATTGGCTGAGAAAACGTTAGAGAATTGGACGGACCGGACGGGCACGGCTGGGGTTGGAATGCCAAATAAATTTAAGTTTAGTCACTCACTTATATGTCGAAATAATAATTATTAATAATTAATATAATATTAATAATAATACAATTTTATAATATAATAATCGATCTATCTATCCTTAATGCGATATATAATATAGTTTTTCTTCCTCTTTATAAAATAAAAATTCTATTATATAAAAAGTGTGTTGTTTGCTTATTTTGTTCCTTTGCGCTTGTCTTCCATTTAAAGAAGCACTTACAACGACGTATACAAGCTAGAGGGGGTTGGCTGTGTTTCTGTGTCCTACACGAACGAATTGCACGTTCCGAGTACAGCGAGCGTTAGGAGAATTCGTCCGCGTCGTTCGACGTACGTGGAGAATACTCGTCGCCATTTCACTTAAATGATTATATATATAAATATATATATGTATATACATATATACATATATATATATATATATATATATACACATATATACATATATACATATATATGCATATATATGCATATTCATATACACGTGCACGCACATATTCACACACATATATATATATATTTCAAAAAAAAAAAAAAAAAAAAAGATATTTACAATATACGAACGTTTACAGTTGCATGAATCTTTCGTGAAGCCTTAGAATTCTATTGCATTATACAATCTCCATTATTTTTCGCTCTACAGCGGCTCACTTATTGTTTGTTAACTTTTCTTCTCAACTTAAAAGCGAGATGGAGACGATTTGTAACGCGATTATACAAGCGTCTACTCTTCATAAATTGCGTTTGTAAGATTCTCGCACGTATTAAAAGTGAGAAAGTGCGCAATTACAATTGATCGTTACTCTTTAGGATTAAAGACAGAAACAAGGGCATGAGACGAAAAAAGTACAAGAAAATATCGGCGTTAACAACGCCACGCGCTTCCATCATTATCACAATGTCTCGTTTAAAGGAACGTACAAAAGCCTGCTGTATGTATCAAGACAAGTGTGCGTGTTTGTGTTTATTCGTTTCTTTATTTATGTTATATTTTTCGCTTCGTTGGTTGGTTTATTTTTGTATTCATTCAAGATTTTTACAGAAAAAACTTCTTTTAGAAACACGCTAACCATATAAACTCTAATTATTGAAATTTTAATGCTTTGAAATTTATTAATCAGTATAAATTTGTTACATTACTTTTCATATTATATATATATATATTTAATTACGTTACTCCAATAATCTCATATGATTATGAATGCTTCTACTAGAGTTTTTACTTAAAAAATTCTTGTTACAATTCTGTATAAAAAGTTGTATATAAGAAAGGTCCGCCTCACAGTATCACAACCAGGGAGCCGGTATTATTTTATTTTTATAGCGCCTCTGCAAAAATCGCACATGAAATTCTATGAACTATACATAAAGTAAGCGAGATAGCTCGAAGATGACATAATTGAAGTCATTGTTACATTTACTTTAGCTCTTATCTCAGCGCACATCTGAGTATCTTCAATCGAATCGCGTAGTCATCTTCGTGTTTTATTCTTCGATTTATCCTATCCGTCGCCGCGACTGTTGTATCACGGTTATTACAGGCTTAGTAAAATTAATAAGTACAGGCTATGTACATATGTACAACGATAACAACTCGACATAATTATCATATTAGCATTAAATAATCATTGTCGTAATGATTTGTTTATCTCCATCTTCATTACATAATTATTGTCGCGTGACATTTATCTCGAGAGATTCCATGTTTTTCAATTATCGAAATTCGCTCGCGAAATGCATAAACAATTTTCCGTTGAGGGCGGGGCGGGGGGTCGGCGGCTCGTGAGATTTGGAAAACTTCGCCACTTGGAACAATACGAGCAATAACGCGATGAAGCACCCACTCACTCAAAAAGCCGATGACGACGATTACGATTGTATCGATCGCAAGAGCCGTTAAAACTCATAACAGTAAATAAAAATTCTCAAATAAAAATAATTACAAATAAAAGCTCGAGATGGATCGATAACGTACGTGGAAACTGTCATCTGACGCATATAATTAGGACGACGGAGGGTGGTTGGCTGGTTTGAGTGGTGGGAGGGGCTAACCTAATGGATGGGGTTTGCGAGGGGCGAAGAGCGGGGGGAAAA